TCCCCCTTTCAAATTAACCATGTATAAGATCGATAAAAACTGCTACTTTGATATTGAGATTTTTTCTGTACCCATATATATCCTGATGTACTTACTGTATAATAATATTTGGCTGCAGTGATTTTAGAAACTCAACAAATACGGTAAATCTCTAGATTACACAATATCGTTATAGTAGTTTACGCAACGATTGCGTAAAGATAGTGTTAACGACACGAGTAGAAGATTTAAGGTACGAGCCTTAGCGAGTGCCTTAAAAACTTCTACGAGTGTCGTTAACACTATTTACGTGAGTTGTGTACACTACTTTACCTACGACGGTGTTTTAATTACTAAAATTCACTACTCATAACTTCAAGAGAGGTTATTTTTTTGTTTATAACCTCTCATTGCCACTGACAGTGATGCAACGAAACCACTAATTGCACCAATCAACAATTAAATTGGCCTGAACAGCTGATTAGTTGAATTTCGAATCATTACAATTTTGCTTCTCTTCTCTCAATCCTTGAACCTTAATAAGCTACTTAAACTACTACTTAATACTGTAGCTACTTTAAATAACGGCCGTAGGTAAAATCATTTTACCTACGACCGTTTATTAAAGTAGCCGTTTCAGTTCAGTGCTTAGAATTGAAAAGTTTATCATAACAGCATTGTTTACTTTCATAACAGCGTGGTTTTACTCATAACAATACGGGTAACGGACCAATGAGGTTCACGGTTTCAAACAGAAGAAGTAAAATTGTAATGATTCGAACTTCAAGTAATCAGCTGTTCAGACCAATTTAATTGTTGAGTGGTGCAAATTAGTCTTTGGTACGATGTTTCGTTGCATCACTGTCAGTGGCAATGAGAGGCTATAAACGAAAACATAACCTCTCTTAGAAGTTATGAGTAGTGATTTTTAGAAATTAAAACACTGTAAGTTAGTGAATGTTTATAGAACGTGTGTACTTGAATTGCAACTTTCATTTTAACAGCTATTGACTTGTCAGCCTTTAAATTACCTCAATGAGATCTTTCAAATGAGACATAACCTAAGAAAATCTGTCGAGAACTGAGAAGTACTGACGACAAATTTCGTGTTTGTCTATTTTACATATGGAAATAGATGGGTAGATAAATGTAATTAATTTTTCTCAGAGCTATTTCCTATGCAATAACCTATACTGGAACTACTCAGCATTAGTGCTTTACTGCACGTGTAGCAGTAGAGGTATTTAGCAGTCAATCAATTATTTAGTTACTGTGCGGGCTCCACAAGTTGTAGCTTAACTCGATGACAGTGAGTCCATTATTGAGTCACCAGGTATTGATAGCTCAGCTATTTGCAGGTGATTGCCCTTGTGACATCCAACTTGACTCAACCCGAGTAGTCGAATTTGTCTAACTAATTGCACCATCTCTTGCCATATTGACTGGTAACTAATTCGCTTCGTCGTCTACCTCTAGCAATGAATCGATCGAAATATGTTATGAGATTAAAATAAACATCTTCCGATATTGATTGGAACGTGTAAGTAATGTGATTTAGCGACCACTTAAAAAGAGGATATGCCATTTAAATCAAAAAGAAAAATGTTAATCAAGCATAATCATCTTTTCAATAATAAAGTAAACTCTAGTTATCTCGTAAATCTAACACGGAATACGCGATACTATGCCATCAAAGATAGCCTTAGTTATGGAGACAAGATACATGCCCGATTCGTCAACACATTAAACTGTGTAAAAAATGACATTTGGTGCACCCTAGGGCCTGAAGTTTTTACATTTAAATACAGTAAAGTAAGGTTAGCTGCATAGTGAATTGCAATATGAATAAACACCGATTATGATTACGGTAGATAAATTATAACTAAAAGTGTTTTGTAGTTTTAATCAATGATTATAAAAATGGATGAATAACAATTTGCATATAAAGTATAAAATTACATTAACAAATAGTTTCTTCATTTAACTCATATTTTTCACTACTAAATATTTTACTAAAACTACACAGCGATGGATCCATACGTTTTTGTTATGTTAGAACTACGAAATTCAAAATATCTAGTGTTAATAACATGTGTAAATTTCTAGGGGAAATGTTACCTGAAGTTGGGTCAGTTTTGACAGGACCAGCAAGGTCTTTTGTATGAGGAGAAGTTATTAACTCCTGCATGATATAAAGAGCAAAAATGAAAGAAGCCCGGCTGAGAGTTGAATGTTGAATGTGAACCCAAACTACACGGTGTGCCAACATTGGGCCCGTCGCTGATGTTAGATGAGTATGTTAATTATGCATAGCTCATCAAGTCTCTGTCTACGCTTCTTTTCATTTATTTACTCCTTGACACATGACATTTTGTTAGGGACTTTTCACTCTTCCTCTCATTTTATCATTTTCTCCGTCAAATAGATACCAAGTTTGCATCGTTAGGACTAACACCAGTGAATCGTCGTAAGTTTCGGTAAGTGTTGACAGTTAAACTACGGAAAGTACTAAGTACTAGCGGCGTTGTTGTAAGCAGTTTGGCCACATTGGCCGCGCAACGCTGCAGGATCGTGCTTGCGTTGCTGTGAGCGATAACAAGGCTGGTCCGGTAACGTACTTGCTTACCCTTTGCTATTTTCAAAATTCTTCAAGAGCATTTCACGTTGAACATAAAATTATTGCTTCTAACACGGTTTGAAAATCAAAATCATATTAATTAAAAATATGAAACATGGATAGTTTTTAACGAACTTGTAAAAATTATATTTTTCCTCATACTGCAGCAAAAACTGTCATTTTTAATGCATGCGTTGCGTGTAGGGAGTAAAAATAATTTTTAGTCTCTAGGGAGTAAAAATCTGCTGTTGTAAACAGTTGTAAATTTCGATTGTAGCAATCGTATGGATGGACATTATTTATCGATTGATTTATTAAGTACTGTAAGGTCTTAGCCGTCACATCGAGAGTATAATCATTGACTATTAGACTAGTCAAAGGTATAAAATGTACTGTAACACAATCGTAATAGACGATATGATTGAATCACTTACTAAACAGCTGCCACGAATACTGTGACAGCTGCTTATTTGCATTAGCAGAATCGAAAACAAGCTGGAAGTTGTTTTGAGAGGTTATCTTTACAAACAAATTATTTCGTTTTCTGGCTTAGTTTGTTAATTAATGATGCAATATGACGAAATTGTCCAAGTTTTAAGCGTAAGTTACGCATGGCCCGTCACACACACAGACATGTTACTGTCAATCAACTAAAACCTAACCTTATCTTTCCATTTTTCTATACAGGGTGTCCATAAAAACGTTTCAGGACTTTGGGAAATGAATCCCCATACTAAAAGGAAGAAAAAAGTTTATGGGAAGGTATGTCCGAAAATGCATATTTACCTATACAATCCGCCATTTTGTTTTTTATACAAAAATATTTTTATCTGTGAAGTTTTTTATTCGATGATTATGAAATTTGGTAAACATATTAACGTTATATTTCAGTTATCTTTAGTCCGATCTTTTTGATCTTGGTATTGTTTGATAGGAAATTGAAAATGGTAAAAAAAGTGTCCTTGACATTTTTTCATAGATTTAGCCGTTTTTGAGTTATTTAAATTAGAAAAATTCAAACGGCCGCCATTTTGAAATTTACAATCTGAACAACTTTATTGTTTTTTTATATTATAGGTATTGTGTATCCTAACATGTTTACCAAATTTCATAACCATCGAATAAAAAACTTTACAGATAAAAATATTCTTGTATAAAAAACAAAATGGCGGATATCTGGGTAAATATGCATTTTCGGACATACCTTCCCATAAACTTTTTTCTTCCTTTTAGTTTGGGGATTCATTTCCCAAAGTCCTGAAACGTTTTTTATGGACACCCTGTATGTATAAAATGTCATATTTTTACTTCTATGAGATCTAAATATAAATATAACAATAAATTGAGGTAGCAAACACATTATTACTGGTGGTTTGTGGAGAAATAAAGTTCTGTCAACGTAGGTAATGAAAATGGTATGTATGATTCAATAAATTGTCTGAGTAGACAATTGGTTACCCTACAGTGTCAGCTTCAAATCTCAAGGTCCAGTTCTAGGTGGGGTCGTATCTGCATTCAAATGCTATTTGTGATTCAGCTATATTAATTATAATTACATCCCACATAGGGTTGGCGTTAGTTAGTAACAAGATCAAGTTTGGACTGTTCTCTAAAAAAAAACACAAAAAAACTACAAAATGAATTCAGAATTGATCTTATTGGCCTACATAGATTGGCTGAGATGATGCCGCAGCTCTGTAGTCAGCCCTAATCAATGTGGCGAGCCCAGCTGTGGATCGAATGGCCATTATTTATTATCTCATTGCCGTGACAAATGAGCTTGTGAAAAAGGATTCTCTTTCTTCTGCCATTTCTGTGTTTTGGAACATCGCACTAATTAAGGGCCGCTACTATCCTTTCTCGTCTTTTGTTATTAAAAATACAATCAAATCAATTATATTTTGTAAAAATTGTTATCACTAACTTTAAAGGCTTACTATGTGATAATTAATTGTGTGTGTGATCATTTTAAAAGAACAAACACATAATTTTCACAATTTTTGAATTTTTTAAATATTTTTTGTTAATTTAATTTGACCCAAGGTAAGGTCAACTTTAGGAAAAATATGCGAATACAATATATGTTATTTCATATTAAGGTACACCAGTATTAAATACTAAAATAGAGGTTTTATTATTAATTAATGTACACATGAAGGATTAGGTAGCGTGGATAATTTAAACCTAGACTTGATAATAAACTTTAACTGTGCATAAATGTTCATCTAAAATTATTTCCATCCCTACATCCTATTAATAAAATGCAAATTTATATTTATGTTGTTGTCTTATTGTACTTTTCACGAAAAGTGTATAGAAAAGGTGTTTGGCCTCTCATATAACCGTTTTGTCTCAATCAATATTTCACTTTCATCTATTCACGTTTACTTGTTGTATGTTACAGGAACAGAAACGGAAGCTGTTCCACACCTCAGTGTATGAGTCGGAGATACAACTCAAGAAGTTGTACATACAAACATGCAGACGGCTGCCGGCTCATGGCTGCAAAGTGTACCAGGTCAAGGAGCTGCTGCGTGGCAAGACTAAGAAAAAGGTAATACAGTAACTGCTAAACAATACATATGTCGTAGGGAGGCTTATACGGATGTTTTCTGTATGCTCTGCGCTCGGGCGGTCTTGTGAGGGTCGACCCTCGTATTTCACTAACCGCGAGGCGCAGTTAGTATGCACTCGAGCAGTGAAGTTATAGCAAAGAAACTTAATTTTGTATTATTGCGTCAGTTGATGCTTCCAGTTTCTAAGAAGAATGGAGGAAGCCCCTTTTTGTGTAGCATCTTAAGGAAGTTAAACCGTGCAGTATTGCAGTATTGTATTAAAGTAGACAAGAAGTGAAGAATTGTATTATATTGAGCTATAACTGTAACCTACAGCATTGATTTGAAGTAAGCCAGTTGGATCCAACTTAGTTAATACTAAAACAACAAGGGACTGTGTGCGCAAATTTCATAGAATAAAAAGCATTTAGTCAAAAGAAATTAGAGTAATAAATGAAAATAGTTAGGTACCACTATTTAAATTGTTTTAGTTATGCCTAAGAGGAATCAGTTATCAATTAGCATGTCAAATATAATTAGCATTACTGAGACATATTGCTGCAATTAACATGTCATGACTGTTTGATTTGCTACATTGTCTGTATGCATAGAACACTGCCACACAGTTGTGCATTCATGAATAATAATACACGTACATAGACTATCAATTATTATTGTATACTTCATACTAGGTTGTGTGACAAAAATTGTGTTTTGATTTAATTGTAAAAGCCAAATGTATCTATACAGGGTGTCCTGGAACTCTACCAACTCGTAGCCACCATTTAGTTTTTTTACAAACACATTTTTTACTCAAGAACGGAAGAATGAAATTTGGTATATGGTCGTATTCATTAAGAACTAACTAAAGAACAAATATTATTTTTTTAGAGTGTTTGTTTTTAAAATGGCAGCCGATTAAAATTTTAAAACATAAATATCTCAAAAACTTCACATGAAAATCGTTTTAGCTAATTCTTTATAAATAAGGTAGAAAAATAATTTGTAAGAAAATTTAATCATGTCAATACCAATACTTTAGTATTATTTATAAAATACATAAACAAAAACCTAAAAAAAGAAAACCATTTAAATATAAAAATAAAAAGTTTATTTACATGAGGTATGACAAGTAAATCTGTAAATTCAACACCTGTCGAAAGTGAAAAAGACCTGATCGGTAGAATTTTGGAGGCGACTGCAGTCATACAAGATAATGAAATTGAGAAGGTGTGCGGCAATCTATGACAGCACAGTTTACAATGTGCAATCAAGTTGGTGGTGGGCACATTGCACATCAATATTGTAAATACTGTAATATTGGTCAGCCCATAGATCATTCCAATTTTTTTTATTTAATCACTTGTGTATAGATATTATAGTCATACCTCATGTAAATAAATAAATTTTATATTTTGGTAATTTAAATTTTTTTTCTTTTTTAATTAGTTTATTATTTAAATAATACTAAAGCAGCTCACTAATAACCAATAGAATAAGCAACATACAGGAAATTATCACATTTTATGTTTTATATTTCAAACAGCTGATCAGTGTAAATAAGCATAAAACAGCTGATTGATGTGGCTCACTAGCAGTGGTTTTACCACAGTAGTATGTTTTCTGTGGTTTTACATTGTAACAGTTGGTGGTATTGACATGATCACATTAAAAATGGTACTTTTGGAAAATACGATTAAAACAGGGCAAAACCCTGTAGCACCTACCCCAAGCAATATTTATCACAAAATAGGCCTGTCCATATTGAGGATCATAATGTTGCCTCCTCATCCACTTTCTGCATGAGCCTTCTTTTTCTTCCAGCTTCTCTAGCCTACTTTATGATACTTTCAGCAGCACCTTTTCCTCAACATTTTCTTTTTTAAATGTCATGAGTATACTTCCTCCAATTTTGAAGTTAGGCGGACTGAAAACTAGCTGTCGCAATGTTTTGTTTTATTTTTTTCAAAAGGCTTACATTTGAATTACATATATGAATGTTATATCATTTTAAAGGGAATTAAAAGGAGAATATAACAATCAGCAGAAAACAAAATTTGTGTTAGTAAAAAAAAAATTCGGTCTGCCACCCTTAAAACAAAATGTTAAGGATTTATTTAAACTTTTTTTGTAAATTTCTTAACATTTAATTTGACGCTTGTTGTAGTGTTTAGTCAATATTTTGTATTAAGTGGCATAACCTAAACGTCTACTCTTAGAAAATAACCTGGGAATAAAGGATAAAATATGTTTGTATATATGCAATATATTTTTTCATTAAGTAACTACTATGACAAGGCAGAAAAAAATATTGTTCGGAGGATATTTTAACCGTGTACTGTCCGTTGCTCCAAGGAAAAAGGTCCATATTATATAACCTAGCATAAATGATACCTATATTACTTACATCCTTCCAAAATTTAAACATTGAAACTTTCGAAGCCCATGGGGTGTAGCCCAAGGGAATTATGAAAATGAAATGATTTAATATTGCATTGTCATCCATTTGTGAGCTATGTTTCAAGTTTCAATTGTCTAGCTCATCGGGAAATCAGTTTAAAATCGATTGAAAAATTTGTACCGAACAGACAAGAAAGCGAGCTAATAAAACATTTTTCCTACAGTCACCCGACAAAGTTGGCTTCCTTGTACTGTTTATAGTACAGAAAGCTTCTAATTGCTGCATATTTATACTTTGCCGTACGGTTTATACTTTTCCGTACGGTTTATACTTTGCCGCACATCAGGATTCCAACGAAACAACACAAAACAGCGTGGTTCTATTATACACGTAATCCGTGTACGCTTGGAAATAGGTTGGCAACACTTTAAGATAAAAATACTATGAGCAGCTGATTGACTATTATAACTACGATTTAACTGTCATTTTGTGTTTATAGTTTCGGTATTTCTGAACTTTCTGGACTTTTCTTTAAAACGTTTTTAAAACATTCCTACTATCTTAATAAACAAGAAAATACCTTTAAAGCATTTTTTTAGCCACGGAAACCACTTCAAATTACAAAATCATACGGAACTATATTCTCAAAACGCGGAGCACAATTCTTGCCGAGGAAAAATAGCGGAGTGATACGGACCGCGGGTACTACTTTCTCTAGGGCACCATTTGTTTTGCCAGCTGAACCTCAAAACGTGTTGTATAGTGTTTGAAAGACTAATTAACTAATTATTTATATACTTTATAGGGACTGTAGGAAAAATATAATGTGTAACACGAGTGAAAAAGGCCTTTGCTGCACTCGAGATCATTCCGCACTCGCCTGCGGCTCGTGCGTAAACATTGCTCTCGTGTGCAGCAAAGTGCCACTTTCACCACTAGTTACACAAATAACTATTTCAAAACATCAACAAAAGCTAACAAAGATACTGTTTTTACACTAAAGATATGGTGTACTATCCTGAAACTTAGATAACTTTATTTTGAGTTTGTTTTATTACAATAATTTGTTTCACATTTGACCTTCTTATATGTCCCTACAAGCCACTAGTGAATCTAGAACTATAGAACAAAATGTATCTAGTTTTGTTTATACTTGTACATATGCTGACTGAGAGTTTATATTGATCAAGGTATCTGAACATTGTGAATGTCAGTAGTAATACTACCCTCATGTGCAATTCTGGTGTTATATTCTTGTGTAGTTCAACTCAAAATAACAAATGTTTCAATAACTCAAGTTTTGTTGTAGGCTGCTCGGCTGCTTGGCCTCGGACCCGATAAGATTGTTCTACTTGACAATAAGACCAAAATATTAGCAAAATCACAAAATACTTCAGATTTAATCCAGGTAAGTTGTTTACTTGTATGTATTCTCATTTGTATAGACTACAGACAAATGTTATTTTTTTATAGTTTTTCAAATTTATTAGCAACTAGCTGTGTGCCCGTTCTACGCACGGGGATCTTATAGTAGTCATTTGAATGTGACAAAAATCACACAATGTTGGATACGACATTTGTAATTTTATTTCTTAAGTAGGTAGGCCATGTATTCTATGGAAAAGTACCGGTATCAAGGATCGTCGTCGAAAAGGTTGTTATGAATAAATAGGTAGGCGTACACAATTTACACAATTTCAAAGTGCATACAGTATAAAATTTACATATTCTAGTTGTACTTTAATCTGGGACTGTGGCTTTGTCCTGTAATCCAGCTACTTGGAGATCGCAAATTGTGGATATTTATAGGCATGATCTGTGGATACAATACTTCCTGATGTAGATAAATGGCTGCACTAGTGAGATCCGCAGGAATATCCTGATAATTAGATCAATTTGTAAATTGCAAGGCAAAAATGCGGTTCGGATTTCACTATAAACTGTAGGTCCCTTAGTTGCCATTGGCTGTATGGACTATTAATTAACAGTCCTAACTAAGGAACATGTCAGCCTTAGTAAGTAACAAGACTACAAGATCGCACGACTCATCCTACACTTATCTCCATTCATACTTGGCTATTATATCTACCTTCATATGGTCACCATTTCAAAGTAAAGTATTAAAGTAACTACTTTATGTTGTAGTGGAGGACTGGTGGCGGTCGGTCCCATGACAGACTACAGTTGGAGTTCCGCGCGGCGAGGTGGAGCTTGGTGGTGTCTTCTGTTACCCACATGCGTCAAGTGGGCCTCGCTCTATGGGAGATTCTTCAGGGGCTCGACTGTACCTTCCTGGAGGAACACACCCTTCTCAGCCGTCTTCCAAACCAAGGTATGTTACTGGAACATGTGAAATCCAAATAATAAGATAGAATTTGATTATTTTTGTGATATTTCAAATCAGTTACAGTTTTTAAAAGAATTAAGTAAGAACATTAATTTTTAAATAAAATAAATTGCTTATTAAATTTGTAGGGCTAGAGGTGTTGAGCACCAGTACTACCATACCCATTCTTCGCATCAGGAAAAGAACGCTTAAGAGAAGAGAATAATTATGTTCTATAGAAGTGCTGTATACAAAAATTATTAACTCTTAAATAATGTCCACAGTTTTGATAAAGTACCAACAGAATCATTTTCAATCCCCTTGTTGTTCATAAGAAAAGCATAGAAACTTTGGAGGCATCAAGGCAGAGCCCCAGGAGAGTATTTATTAAGATAAGCAATTCAATTACCATGTCCATACAGGCCTATGATATATTGGCTCTATTCATGGAAAAAAATATCTCAATTGGTAAAGTATTTTACACGTGATTGACCATGTGAGATGCTCAAAAACTTCACATATATAATGTTAGTCTTCAATTATTGACTTGATAGGTAATGCACTAAAAATATTAAAACCCATTTTCAAAAACTGTTTTGTCCCTGGTTTACTATCTGACTCTAGTTAAACATTCAACTGTTAAATACTTTTCAATGAAATGGTGACCATACAAAGAAGGTATATTCAATCAGCTTCAATCAGTAAAACAAGTGATTTCATAAACTTCACTACTGGACGTTACAGAACTTTCTACCAATATTTAATTATTGTTTCTGGGTCAAAATCAAATATCATATAACTGAAGGATCCGCTGTTATAAAATTACATTACACATTTCAAACCGTCATAGAGAAAGTTAGTCAGTGTTATTGGATCTTTAATAGTTATTTCTAGGAATAAATAAAACAGTAGGAGGCAGAAGACACAAATGATATTACCTTTTAAGTCAGGAAAGCTATATCAACATTTTAACAATACCAAAAGGCCAATCAATTGAAAAGTGTTTACTTAATACATTATTGACAGAAATATTCATAAAATTTGGGGGATATTCTTCCTAAACGCCTTTTTTTAAATATCCGTGTTGTACTAAATTGTAGGATATTGTTTTGTTTTATATCACTATACTCATAGATTGTCTGATAGTTGCACAGTTACGGCCCTCACTCATATCTCCTTTAAGGAGTTTTTGCAAACACAAACAAAATACAAAAGAACCGTAGATGTGAGGCAAGAGTGAGGCTGTGTCTTGCAGATCTGGTGAAGCGCGTCGTGGTGCCACTGCAGGTGCTGCACTCGGCAGAGCTGGAGGAACTGCAGCGACTGTTACACTTCCCGGAGGAGGTGGCGTTGCGGCTAGCCGATACGGAGAATGAGCTGTTCTATGCGGTGCCGCCCATTGACTATCTGCGACAAGTCACACTGGACCTCGGTGGTACGCCCACGCAAGCCACAGACACACCCCGCGCATCTGTGCGCGCCCTTGTCAAGCGCTTTAACGAGGTAATATAAGATATTATAATGTTTGGTGCATGAATAAAAAAACTTTTAAAATGCTTTTTCATGATATTAAAAATGTAATAGCAGATTTATTTTTATTAATACTATTTTGTTTGTTTGAAAAATAATTAACAAATGTTAATTTTAAAAATCAAATTGGCATCCATTTACAATGTTTGCTGTTTTTATGTGCCTGTTTGGGTAATTGGAAGGAGGAAGACGGGGAGTTCCAATGTGTCTGAAGTTTAAACTGGTATAGTAGTTAGAACATTGTACTACTGTGTAGGAGGCCCAAATACTAATCCATCCCAATAATTGTGTAGGTGAGCTCGTGGGTGACGCATCTCATCATCTCTCAGCCAACTCATGAAGACCGCAAGTGTGTGTTGTCTTGCATCCTTCGAGTGGCGCTCTGCTGCTGGAACATCGGCAACTTCAATGGAGCCATGGAGATTGTCGCTGGGTTGAAGTATGCCCTGTCACAATAATAATTTATAGAATATTATTTTGCTTACAATTGAAGCCTATAATGTGCAGTAGAATTTTTTTCTTGAAATAAAATCAGAGCCAGCCTTAGGCAAATGCAAAAGTTACGACCGCACTTGGTGCAAAATACCAACTTTTTTTATGTTTATGAATTTTACGTCAATTGTGAAAAGAGGAAATATAAATAGCAATATTACACAATGAGATTTTCTTAGCTAGTATTGTTGGGATACTACTTATTTTTATAGTAAGGGGCCCCACTTTGAATTTTTTGCACTGGGCCCCGCACCAGCCAAGGCCGACTCTGAATAAAAAATATGTTTTATGAGATCGACTTACTTAGACCTCACTAGATGAGAACCTGACTAGTTAGCCCCCCCACACACTATCGAACATTCCACCCGACCTGACGACTGACATGACGACGGACCCAACATCCAACCTGACATATGTTGGGTGTTTCCCACACACTGTCGAGCATGTTACCCAACAAGTCAGGTCAAATATTAGTTCTGAGATGGATTTTGAGACCACTGTAGCTGTTTGTGGGAGATTTTTTTGTTTCAAACGCAAAAAGAAGAAAAATAGGTGATGTTGGTCAAAACAGTGGTTGTTAGATCGAAACCAGTTTAGCCACATGACGCTCCTGGATGCAGCTCCTGGACGCACAAAATTAATGCAGCTTGTACAAAATAAAATGCTTAACTTGAATTGGAAAACCATGCAAACACAATTCTTAAAAACATTTGTTGAGACAGCTCAAGAATCCGCCTGTTATAAATACATCATCTCAAAGTAAGATTTTATGCACCTCATTATTCAACAAAAAGGTGGCCGTTTTCACTCATCTAGGTTCTTACATCTATGATTTCCCCCTAGAAATATTATCTATTTACAGAGTGATATTATGGACTAGAATTTAATATGGCGTTTAATAAAGACAAGCAGACGTGTGGTATAAAATCCCTACTGTGTAAGTTCATTAGCTGGTAATGCCGTTTAGCGCTGTTTTTGTTAAATACATTTTGTGTTGTAAATACAAACTTGACATTTTATTTGTAACTATTTATTTTCCGCCAAGTCTACTTAAATAAGAGGTTTTTAATTTTATAGAACATAAAATGTAGGAGCTACAAAAAAGGTATTGTAATAAAAACTACTTGTATATTGCTAATATATTATTAATATTGTATATTGTTAATAAAAAAATGTACTGCCAGTTAGACAGCCATAGTTGCAGTATTTACTGCTTTACTGTTTTTCGATTAAAATGTACTCACTATCAATTATTGTTCTACTACTACCATTTAATATACTGCATAACACTACATTCAATATTGGACACAACACTATATGGATATATAACACTAAATAGTTATATATTCAATGCTAATTCGTAATGAATCTCATTCCTAATTCTTTGGGAAATTACTACAAAACATATGATTTGGTCAAATAAAACACGTTCAGCTCGCACGTGACGCTAGACAAATAGCTGCATGAACTCGACAAATTTACGCCTCGCTATGCACACACCTTCTTTTATACGCCTTGATCCCAACCATGCTGGCTCTTTGGGTCTAGCTAGGTTATCAGTCAGAAGGCTCAGGCTGTGTTTGGGTTGGTTGCCAACTGTAGAAGAATAATTATTTGTTACATACAGTATGAAACTAGTAAGCTGGCACCATGACTCCACTGGTTGGTACCAAAAGTCTCCTTTAACTATTTCTTGATGAAATTCAACTAAGTGAAATGTCAACTTTTTTATTACTTTACAAATTATCTATGTTTGACTACTTACATAGGCCTAAGTAAACCATTTTGTGTTGGTCCAAATTAAATCATTTGTAGAATGACTCATACGCTTATAGGATAACTCATAACACCTTAATAGCTACTTACGTAGGGCAGCCATATTTGATCACACTCAACTTAAAACTCCACCAGGCTGTGCTTGATTCAAAGGTAAGGTAACCCTACATACAACCTACTTAAACAACAGAGTTTTATGGAAGTGTGTAATGTGTATACAAATCTAGTACAACGTTAAATTGTCTTTCAATGAACATGCCGGAGGAGTCTTCTTCCAGAAACCTTCAAGGACTACCTTCTAGGACTTGAGATTGGGGCAGGGGTTTCTTTCGGCCTCCAGCCGACTTGAATGTTGTAGGCCGGCGGAAACTACTTGCCTCAGTGTTCATCTCTCTCATTGTGAAGATCGTCTTCTCATCTGGATGGTGATGATAGACAGACTCTATCCGTTAGTCCAAAGGTTTATTCATATAATAAATCCATACCATAAATTCCTCATTTGTCTCAAAAATGGGTTTTTTTTAGACTGTAAGTGTAATATTAAATATATTAATAATTGGTAATTGATCTTTTGTAACAAAATTTAGTTTAAACATTATGTAGTTTTAACGTGTGTAATAGTAAGTACAACACTAGGCTCATGCCAGTTAAAAATTTATATTTATTCAAAATATAAGCATAGCATAACTTTTATCTTCATATTATGTAACCTCGTAACTAATTTTAAGTTTGATGATGGATTTTTTTTAATAAGGTAGTATATTACGTTACTAGTACCGAAAGTGGCAATTTCCGGTGAGCGTTGAAGTTTCATTCATGTATGAGGCAATGGCAAAGCCGAACACAGGAACACCAAATTTCACATGAGAGGTGAAGCCGAGCATATGAGATTGAGTTTCACATATGCCTACAAGGCAAAGCCGAGAACTGGAATAATTTGAGCTATAGCCAGAAAATCACTTTCGGTACAAGTTATGAACAATAATTTTTAACACAACGCAAAAATACTCACATACAGGATAACAGACCTCACTAAAACCTTTTATACTCCCTATTTAGCATTATCTTATACAGGGTGTCCATAAAAAACGTTTCAGGACTTTGGGAAATGAATCCCCATACTAAAAGGAAGAAAAAAGTTTATGGGAAGGTATGTCCGAAAATGCATATCAACCCAGATATCCGCCATTTTGTTTTTTATACAAAAATATTTTTATCTGTGAAATTTTTTATTTGACGATTATGAAATTTGGTATACATGTTAATATACACAAGACCTATAATAGAAAAAATAATAAAGTTGTTCCGATTGTAAATTTAAAAATGGCGGCCGTTTGAATTTTTCTAACTTAAATAACTCAAAAACGGCTAATTCTATGAAAAAATGTCAAGAATACTTTTTTTTAGCATTTTTAATTTCCTATCAAACGATACCAAGATCAAAAAGATCGGGCAAAAGATAACTGAAATATAATGTTTTTTGTGTAAAAATAAGGCAAAGTTAGTAGAGGAACCCTTAATTTTTGCCTTATTTTTACACAAAAAACGTTATATTTCAGTTATCTTTTGTCCGATCTTTTTGATCTTGGTATCGTTTGATAGGAAATTAAAAATGCTAAAAAAAGTATTCTTGACATTTTTTCATAGAATTAGCCGTTTTTGAGTTATTCAAGTTAGAAAAATTCAAACGGCCGCCATTTTGAAATTTACTATCGGAACAACTTTATTATTTTTTCTATTATAGGTCTTGTGTATATATTAACATGTATACCAAATTTCATAATCGTCGAATAAAAAACTTCACAGATAAAAATATTTTTGTATAAAAAACAAAATGGCGGATATCTGGTTAATATGCATTTTCGGACATACCTTCCCATAAACTTTTTTCTTCCTTTAAGTATGGGGATTCATTTCCCAAAGTCCTGAAACGTTTTTTATGGACACCCTGTATATTAAAATGTAACAGGGTTTTTTTATTTCACGATTCTGAATCAACCACTTGACGGATTTTCATGATTTTTGTGTTGAAAGAAAGATAATTTGGAGAACTAGGGAATGTCGAAGCCATAATTTTAGTTTAGGGTTTCAGTTTTTTGGAAATTAAGTTTTAATTTTCAAAAAGTCTAGCAGCCGACGCTAACATTCTTCACAAGCTTTTGGTATAATACCATTTTGCTTAACGTAATAGCTGTAAACATTCAGTGGTTGTAAAACAAATTCTGCATTTGGATAAAAATTAAATGACATTCGCAGTGTTGACTTATTTATACTATGCGTAATGCTATAACTATTGATACGTTCATTTATTCGTTAAGGGGATGCCAGATTATTTATACTTAGTAAAATACTAGATGTTCTAATTTATTTTTTAGAGCAGACTCTAAAATTTTGGGTTTGTTTTTGTGCAATATAATTTGTTTCAAATGGATGGATATAAAATATTCTATAGAACTATGAGGTTATTTTATTTAGTCTATGATTTTGTCATTGATTATAGGAAACAAATAAGATTAGTAGATATGAGTAGACTTCTTCAAAGTCTACAGTTACCAACCTCCTACTTTTTGAAAATTATATCCTATCAGCCATGAAAAATGGTAGACAAATGGATGTCGCCTTCGTTGATTTTGCGAAAGCATTTGATAAAGTGGACCATGGTATACTCATTGCTAAACTCGAAGCCTATGGAGTTGTTGGGCCACTCCTTAACTGGATGTGGGACTACCTTACAGGACGCCGCCTGTGTGTTAAACTGCCTCACTCCAAGTCGCTAGAATTTGTCCAGACTTCAGGGGTCCCACAAGGCTCTCTACTTGGTCCATACTTATTCATTGTGTTCATCAATGACCTTGTCGATGTACTGAGGGTGGACACACTGCTCTTTGCCGATGACGTTAAGATCTTTACAGAGGTGTCAAGCTATGAGGATGCTATGCGCTTGCAGACTGGCCTTACATCCATTAATGAGTGGTGCATTTCCAACAACATGTCCCTGAATATTGCCAAGTGCTCAATCATGACATTCGGCAGATTACGAGAACCGTACCACTTTCAGTATGCGATAGATGGTCAGTTGTTGAAACGAGTCTCAGTGGTCAAAGATTTGGGTGTTACTTTTGTGGCGGATCTTACCTTCGACAACCACATTGACGATATATGTAGCAGAGCAAACCGGCTTCTTGGATTTCTCTTTCGATCGACCCGTGGACTGAGCAACACTTGGGCGCTTAGGACTCTGTTCTGCTCTCTTGTTCGCCAGCTGCTCGAATATGCCTGCCCAGTTTGGTCTCCTCATTTAATCGGCCAGATAAGCCAGCTTGAGAGCATCCAGAGGAAATTTTTGAGACTGGTTGGAGTTCGCCAGGGTCTACAGTATTGGGATGTGCCTGTGGCTCAAATGCAGGAAAACCTAAATCTCCATGATCTTCGGGCGAGGCGCTGTGCATCTGATATGGTCTTCCTCTCCAAGCTCGTAACCGGGTTGATTGATTGTCCTGCCTTGCTGTCTGAAGTGGACATTCGTGTTCCATCTGGTACAAGATCCCAGGATCTATTCGGAAGGAGGCACTATGCACGTGGATACCAGTACCATGGACCCCTTGCAAGGATGCTTCGAAATGGGAATGTCTTCTGTGCCACTTTCGACATCTTCACAGACAGCCAAAAGACAATCCGGAAGAGGGTACTGGCTGACTTCCACCGCTCATCATAGTACCACCCAAAATCACGGTTATTATATTTGTTTCAAACCAATGAATGTTTTCTCTCTTTTTACAAATCTTGTTTTCTTTGTTATTGTTGAAATTATATTTACTGTTATTGTTGAAATTCATATATTTATTGTTATTGTTAAAACTCATATATTTATTGTTATTGTTTAAACTCATATATTTATTGTTTGTTGTTCATTTATATTTTCACTTACTATTCTTGTTTTTTGTTCTTGTTCATTGGTTGTTGTTTAAAGTTTTGCTTTGTGAACGTCCATTTTGATACTGCTGAAATTGTATTATTTACTAAACTTACTGCATGTCATTTTGTCAAAAATACTTTTGTATGTATATGTTTAAGTTAGAATAAGTCATCTTATACAACATATTATTGTAAATTGGTTCTTGACCGTTGGAAGGTAAAATAAATAAAATAAAATAAAATAAAATAGACAACAGAGATAAGTAAGACGGGTCTGCGGAATTGGCTAACTCTGGAACTCGCTAACCCCATGTTAAACGCACTATCTTCAAAATTTGTTGATGAGAGGAACTCGCTAACTTGTTCGGTTTCTGAATTGGCTAACTCCGGAACCCGCTAACCCGCTTTAGAGCCAGGTTAGCGAATTCCGTCCTCGTACGGAAGTCGCTAACTCGGTCCCTCGGCGGAACTCGCTAACTCCCAATCAGAAGCCTCGCGGGCCGTCCAATGGGAGCCAAGCACGAATATTTTTGGCCAGTGTTGCCGAAAGTGTAGTACCTATATCGTATCGGTACCATAATGTCGAATCCTATGATTAATTAGGAGTAAGAGCAACGTAGTCGATAAAATAAATATATTTAGAAGTATGTTCAACATTTAATGATTATTAGGGTGGAAAATGCATTATAGTCTTACCATAGATTAACCAACACAAGTAAACTTTACATCCCATTGTAAACTTTGAAGCTCGTTTTTCGTGTCTCGTTCATGTCCGGTGACACTGACGCTAGTGTGGACAAAATTGTGTTTCTATTATTTTATAGTTAACTTCATGATTTGTTCTTAACTGTTTCATTATATAACTAGAGGACTTGTTATTAGTTGTGATTAAAACGTTTTATTTGGTTAAACGAGGTTTTATGACTGAAAACAAGAAACAATTGTAAACAAAACACGACCTCTAAAGACAATGCACTGGACAGAACTAACAATAAAACTGTCTTCAGCTGATCCAAGGATGAGAAATGTACTTATATAATGGAGTATGTTTTATATGTGGTTTTCTTACTTAAATAGTAGCTTATCGGTATCTACATTTAATTTGGATCTCTTACATGTTATGAAATATCTATTTTCGTAGTCCGCCATTTGTTTCTTTTATTTGAATAAATACCATTTTGTGAACTTCTGCAAATAAAATTATAGAGTTCGTATTTTATATACTGGGCTTGTAATCTTGAATCATAAATCATGATAAAATTTACACGTTAAACGTCATTACAGGAATACATTGTAGTGGTAATGTATTTTTAAATAGAGCTATTGAATTTAAATAAATATTGATCAATAAATTATAAAGTGGTAGGCCTAATGTATTCATGGATTGCATTAAAAATTAGTCTATGCGTAAATACAATAGTTATCTAATTCCAGCCTTGAATCTCTTTTTCAGCCTGCCTGCTTATCTGCTTTTGTACCATTATTTATTTGCATAATGTGTAAGTTTAGGTATCCTAAAACCTTGTACACTGTTTACTATTATTATTAGTTGACTGAACTTGACTTGTGCCTCTTCCAGCACGTATTTATATAATTTGACTGTGTCTCATGCATTTATATAATGTCTATAGACGAATAAATATCATTTCATTTCATTTCATTACAACTTGTAAATTTCTTTTATCTTAGTCTATTAGTGTAGAACCCGGGTCATCCTCTTAATTTGTTTTAATTAATATTAATTTTACGTCTTTCAGTAGGCCTACTTTTTAAAAGTCTGGAGTTTTTATGGTTCTAAATGGGCCCAGGCGTTTTTGTTTGTTACAATTCTTATGAATGGTGGCCATAGCTAAAATTACTTGATCTTATCCAAAAACAAAGCTATTGTCTATTGTGTAGCTCAGTACCGGGGAACGTGGAACCGAGCAATGGCTTGGTATAGTTTATTTCGATTGTGAAAGCAATATAAAGGAAACCCAACACTCAAATCAGGAAAATCCGTCAATTCGTTGATTAAGAATCGTGAATTAAAATAACCCTGTCACGTTTTATTATCTGAATATTATATCTTCTCCTATTATTTACTAGTGGTGCTTAGGTGTACAATCTAAAAACTGTTTTAAACATGTAACATTATTACTAAAAAATTCAACACATTTTAGAATTAGGCAACTATTTACTAGTAGGCCTACAATGCTTTGGTTTAAACTATTAGGCCTAGATTTAGACCTACAGCTATTCTATAAATTGATATGAAACTTAGTCTATGTCATATTTGTACACGTAAGTTGGACGGTTCAACGACGAACATTTAATTTTAAATCTATGAATTAGTTATGAAAGTTACGATGGTTGAAGACTGTATTAATTAATGGTTTTGGTTTATTACGACATTACGATTAAATTTGTTTTCCGTGTTTGAGAACTTGCGTGTATTTTAGCTTAATTTCGTAGAGGTTTAATTATTTAGTACCAATTAAATTGAATTTTCAATATTTTTCATATTCTATTATTTTCTTTTAACCCTACTTATGGCATTTATATTTAAGATCGAAATCATAAACATTTAACTGGCTATTGTACAGTTAAATAAAAAAAAAAAACTTTTTCATGATTTTTTTATTGTCTTTGAATTACTTTGGGCTAGTTATCTGTTAAAAGTGGAATTGATAACAAAAAACAAAAACATTTACTGTATCTTCAATCTTCATTGACACTGACATTTTGAAATACGGCAGTGTACGATTATTTTGTCGTACAAGGTTGGCAACGCTCCGTGCAGTGGGCGCGGCCGGGTTAGCGACTTCCAGAGTTAGCGAATTCCGCAGCGAGACAAAATCGAGTTAGCGGGTTCCGGAGTTAGCCAATTCCTGACTGAGACGGTTAGCCAGTTCCAGAGTTAGCCAGTTCCGACACACGACCGAGTTACCGAGTTCCTGAGTTAACCAATTCCTACGTCTCAGTAAGACCATTGCTTTATATACGAATCGAATGCTCTGCTCCGGAGAACTTTTTCAGGGGTTTCAAATTATCGGATTTAAAATGCATAACTAGCTGTTCTGAATTAAACACGATTTTAACTGGCTACTAGATTCCCGTACGTAGGACGGGCCAACAGCTTGTTTTACTATAAAAATAAAAGCAATAAAGTCATTGCTATTAGATGTTAAATTAGAAGGTTATATACATCATTCAGTAAACTACTGCTAAAAGAAACCAAAAGTTCAGAAAAACTACAAGCATATTTCGGTAAAAATGTCTATTGTTAAACAGTAAGACCAGCTGATTTCAATACTGTAATAAAAATAAATCGTAAACAAACACTGTTCCGATGCGATTAGCCAAAATTCCGCTAGCGCTTTGTAATCATGCCAGTAATTAGAAGTTTTTTGTTTTGTTTTTAATAAGTATCAAAGTTTCTTTTTCTTTCTTATTAAGCTGCAATATACAACGACTCACTCCCACGCACGGGTTCTCCCATGTGGGTTTAATTTCATATACTTATAAGATATTCAGTTATACTTCTATTGTAGTAATACATTATTTGTAAAAACTGCAAAAATAATTATTTTATATGGAATAAAAGAAATTTTGCACGCCGTTTTGTGGGTAAATAGAGAACTAATTGAGAGCAAATGTGAGTAAATTTAGAGCAAGGGAAAATGAGCTGATCGTTTTTCTCTTGCTGTAAGTTAGAGCTTGGGAAACAATTACCGGTACTTTTCTTTGATGTCAGCTTTTATTGAAAATAGCCACTTTCTGTTTGGAGTGATGAAACAGATATTTCAACAAATTTCTTAAGTTTATTTTGTCTTACAAATTGTAGATTTTTTACCAAGTATTTGTAGCTAAGAAAAAAAAACTTAAATGTTTTGTATTAATTTGCAATAAATGTTTGTCCAATTTTTCTATGGAAATACTCCACAACCAATAAGCCTATACTTTCTTAATTTAGTTCATAGGGCTATGTTTAAAGTTGTAAAAATTACCAATTAAAACATATTGCAGGGAAATGTTTTGATGATTCGGTGATTATTTGAAAACCAATGTGACAGTGTTTTTAATGTTCTGTGGATATTTTCCCTTCCATCCCAGGTCCAACAAGCTGAAGCCGTTCTGGTTGTCAATTACTGAGAAAGAGCCTCTGCCAGTGCTGGAGTTCCTCTCCACGGCGCTCTTGTCTGTTGAGTACGATAGAGCGCTGAGTCGTGCGCTTGCCATGCCAGAGTGTAAAGTTGTGCCTTTCTTCGGAGCATTCCTTAGAGACCTAAGAGACATTCTGTCAACAACACCAAGCCTAGTTGTGCTGGCCCCGAGTGGCGAGCACACTCATTTAGAGGTGATTCATCATGTTTATAATATCTTTATTCAACTGAATTCAGCTATGGCTGCAAAGCATAAAATTAAGAAATCTATATTTTTCACCAATATTTAAAAGTGGAATTTAATTTTTTTTATTTTTTACATTTTTAGGGCAGGGTATTTTTAGGGGTAGTTCTTGCTTTTGCAAACAGCAACAATTCTTTAAAACTAGCCAATTTTCAAATATGAAAGTTCTTAGATTAATGAGGTAACAGCTCTTGACTCATCAATAAAGATTTAGATGTACAGCAACAAAAATGCGTTAAATAGGTACTGTTTTTTTTAATTTTTTTTTTAATTTATTTTTTTTTATTTCCATACAAAACAAATGGTGTAAGAAAGTTTATTTGATTTAGAACTGGTCTTAATTATTTTTCGGCTAGAACTGTCCAAAACGCATGAGAGTTTTATTGTTATTTCGTCAATAGAGTCCTCAATCAGAATGCAGCTATGACAGAAAATAACTCCTAGAGGTATATTATTTGATATATAATATATATTTTTATTGCAGTATTTTTAGGTAACCCTTCAAATGTATTTTTTACTAAGAGGATGCGTTTGTAAAAGAAAATGTATGGCAACTAATTCCCCTCTTCTTTTTTATCCAAACTAAACATATAGATACAAAACCAAGAATGTTAAACATTACGTATGAATATTTTAAATATCATGTAAATTCTAAGTTTTAATTAATTTTTGCAGAAAATTATGATCAAATAATCATTACTTTGAATTTATTGTTCACTCGTCAGTATTGAATTGGTTGTGGTTTGGATATTTTCATTGTATCCTGTGTTTGTACTGTCAGAAAATACAGCTTCTTTCTTGGTTTTCTTGTACTAACTGCTATTATTATATTGACAACTCATTGTTGTATACAGTTTGTATCGGATTACAATGGGGAGGACCATTACTTCACGAGGATTGGTCCTGGTGGTTTGATCAACTTGGACAAGATCTACCGTACACAGGCAGTCATGGACCGCATTGCAAGCTTCCATCAGCACTACCACCATCGAGAGAGAGATACAGAGACTTTCATTGATCAAATCAGGTGTGATTTCCCCCTGCGTATACCATTCCTCTCCCACCATACCACCTCTAAAGCATCAAACTGAGTCTTGATTGTGCAAGTTATTTGTTTAATGCTGTACAATGAGTACTTGGGTAATGGTGATAAACTCTGGTATTCACCCAATCAATTGGAAAGTTGCTCTGATTTACATTTCTGAAATAACTGTTGGTTTATCTAAAGTTATGGGTTTACTCAATCAAAAGGTTAATCAAATAAATATTTGTTTCTCTACATATGGTATTAAGGAGCTGTTTAGTAGCCTTCTTTTAGTTGATACTTTTGACCTTAAACCTTTGAATATTTTAAGGTACCAGAGTTTTTTCTTTAAATTTGTTAGTTAAAAATGGTAATTCAAATTGGCATACACTTTTCAGTATTCACACTTCCAGTATTGAAAGGTCATATCTTTTGGAAGAAAAAGAAGATGAAACAAGTGAGCAGGACACATACCAGCCGGTTCAACCTCTGAACAACGATCATGGCGTCAGTTTCTTCCCAATATCTGCCCCTCACAACAACATCAACCATCACACTTTGCAGGTAAGCATCACTCAAGATAACCTGACTGATATTATCCAACCAACACTCTAAAGAACTACCTAGTACGATGTATGATACCCAAATAAGTTAAGTGTTAATAAGGGTTAAGAAAAGGAAAATAGCATTTTACGTCATGAGAAATAATCAAACAACATTTTAGCGTTTTTAGCAGCTTAATCAGTCCTCAATTTGAGTTCTAATACTTTTAATGTTGATGGAAAGAATGACATTGCCAGTGAAATGATATGTTTGTGTATTAGCCAAGAAATAGTCTCTAACTATAGCTTTGGAGTTAAGTTTTTATTAAATAATATTTCCCATAGTAACTTTTTTCACCATAATCTACCTATATATTTTTAAATTTGCAAATACATTAATATAATACACTTACTTACTCTTACGCTACTCCCATGGCTAAGGATACCTGAAGTGGTGTTTGGCCTCATCGAAAAGTTGCCTCCTTACCTTCCTGTTTTCTGAATCATTTTGCCTTGCTCTTAATTTTCGTAAACCTTCTCTCTACCTGGTCCTTCCAGCGATTCTTGGATCTTCCTCGGGGGGTCTTCTTCCCATTGGGTTTTGCCTCACAAATATACTTACAGAATCAAATTAAAAAGTAGCCTATTCCAATTTTGTAAATGTACAGTGCTTAAAAATTGCAGTAAATTAAGTTAGTTTTTTTATATATATATTTGATTATACTTCTAAGTTATTAGTATGTTTTTTTCCTCATAGAGTTTAGTTTTACATTAAATGTGCTTGCTATATATTTTTACTGTATTCCCATTTTCTTGTTATCTTATTTGACGCACATACAATCTTCCTAGAAAACCGATTCCCTGCATTTATGCTTTGTTTTCTAGATAATGCACCATGGAACCACCATGGTCCACTGGGACGCGGAGGGAGGGTCCCGAGCTTCTCTAGTGTACCTGAGACTGGAGCGCAGTTGTGCCACTCTTACCTGGTCTAGACCCACGTGGAGCGGCCTCAAGACCAGTGGTGCCACCTCCACAGCTGACTACAGTCTCAGTACCAACCCTGAAGAGCTCATCGCCCCTGGACTGCTCAGTATGGGGGGTGAAGTAGCTTCCCCTGGGCTGGAGGAGGGCTTCCTGGAACTGTCCGCTGTTAAGGTAGTACACTACTTAGTCACTCACTGTTTTAATGTTATAGTATAGTAATGTAGTAATACCTCTCAAATAGTATTTATTACCCCCCCCCCCTCCCCTCAAATACCTTTGACTACTGATAAATTATATGAAATTCATCCCTTTAGTTAAATTGAGCCATCAACATCAATGATCTGTTATATTATTAAAGTGTGTGGTCATCGTTTAACACATTATCTACCAACTATACTCATCCCTCAGTTGCATAGGAGTGTGACAGTCGGTAGGGAACGTCAAATAAATAAAAACATCAAATAAATAAAAATATAGGCATTTGACACATCGAAATAAAGCTTAGAGTGTGTAGATTTGCCAAAAAGCATTGGTATAAAATCGAAAGTATGGCAAACGTGAGTGGGAATGAATAAAGTGGAAATGAGCTATTTGCGTACTGTTTACAGGTGTGTAAATGTAATAATTTCCGTGCAGTGGCAGGAAAAAGATGGTGTATTCAACATAAATCGGTAATTTACATCAGTGTAATCTGCCAATGGTTCAATTCAACTACATCCATTTTAATTTAAAAACTGATAACAGCTTTAACATGGGAATGGAATGTCTAATAATTTTGTTCTATAGTCATTAACACCACTTGCTTCACTCAAACTTCAAATATTAGAAATAACTGTTGAAATAACGTGTTACATTTATTTACACTAGTGATTAACTATTGTGAGGCAAAGTAGTATTGTTGAAGATGGACTTAAGAGTCCTTAGCTCCAGTAAGCCTACAAATAAATTCTGAGTGGGTTGTGAAGGCCTACAGATGGTAATTTTTTTTTTAGGAAATGCAATATTATTTTATATAAGCTCATGTTAAAGGTTGTATGATGAATATTATTCAGGAGATAACACTGGGTGCTCGAGACAAAGATAAGGACTTGGACCTGACCAACACACTAAGGCGTTTCAACATCAGCCATATCCCCATAGACAAGAGCTGTCTAGCTATAGTGTACGGAGCCAACCTCAGTGACAACCGAGTGCTTTTCCTGCTGTGTCCACCCTCCCTGTGCTGGTAAACACTTGATTTAAGTACTTAGTGAATGGGTATGTGTTTCAAGCTGAATATGAGTCTGATAATCTCTGTGGTTTGTTACTCACTAAGATCAGCTAAAAGGCCAATAACCCAGGAATGCTGAGTTCAGTTTTAAATCATCAAAAGCTATTGACCTTCCTCAAATCCTAATCCTCTGTAACTTAAACTTAAGGTTTGTGTTTTATCCATGTTTGTATAATGAGTGAGGGAGTGAGTACAGTTGTGATGATGTTGCAGGACATGGTATCACGGGTTGTGTTCTGTGGTGAGAGGATTGAAGAGGCAGTTGCAGCAAAGTGACAGGAGGATCATCTGGCTGAAGGAGCAATACTTGCAACTGTACTATGAGGAGGGCTGCTGTGGGCCTCTAACAGTGGACGCCATCAGGGTAAGTATCAACAACACCAGACCTTGGAGCCAGTCTGAGAGTCCATAGCCATAATTCCAGCCGTAGGAACGTATAGTATAACTCCAATCATCTTAATCAAACTCTGTACGTTATGTGCCAATAAACATGATTATGATTATGGTTAATTTGAAACATAACAAATTTGGATAAATACTTCATTTTTGGTGCTTCTTCCATTTTCAATTCATCTATATCTATAAAAGAAGAACTATGTATGTATGTATGTATATATATATATATATATACTAGCTGACCCGGCGAACTTCGTATCGCCTAAGTTATAGGTTTCCCCATAGCAGACCGATGGAAAGAAAGTACCGTTACGTTTAATTTTCAAGATGATCTCGTTCGCATCGCTCAATCACGTCCTGGTTAAAGTTCGTTCGCTACGCTCACTCACCTTTGGGTTGGAGCTCGTTCGCTACGCTCACTCACCTTTGGGTTGGAGCTCGTTCGCTGCGCTCACTTGCCTTCAGGTTAGCTCGTTCGCTACGCTCACTCGCCTCCAGGTTGAAGTTCGTACGCTACGCTCACTCACCTTTTGGTTGCAAATTAGCTGTTGTCATAAATGTAAAAGAAATAATAGTGCTGCACCCTGTTGGTAATCCTTGTAACTTTAATGCTATTGAACATCATAGAACAGAACCAACTTGTTTAATTGAAACAGCTGTTAAGATTCATTAATTCCATTTCTCATAAGGTTAACATGGGAAACTCCAGAGCCACTGGGGCGGAGCCCTTTTAAGAATTTCGAAACGGTAAATAGTTTACGTCCGATTCGCATACCTACAGAATTTACACACCAAATTTCATAACGATCGGTGAAGTCGTTCCGGAGGAGTTTGCAGACAAACACTGTGACACGAGAATTTTATATATTAGATATATATGTATGTACCTTATGGTCTCTGAAACCGCTCAACAGGTTGTGATGCAACTTTCAGGAATTATTAAACATTATTCAAGGATGGTTTGTGTGAAGTTTGGTGTAGGTCCGTCAAAAGGGCTCCGCTCCAGAGGGTTTTGAGTGGGCCAATGTCAGACTTTTTGAACTACAATGTTTACAAATAAATATAACTAGCTGTTACCGGGCAACTGTTTTGTAGGTTTGAATAATCAATCACAACATGCTGTATTAGTCATGATTTGAAATAGTGCCACAATGTTTCCACAGAGTGCAGTACAAAAAACTATTTTACTTTTGGATAAGTCCCAATTTAGGCCTATTAAACCCCAATTGCAGCACACCTGTGCACTCAACAACATTTAAATTCTCCAATGTTAAATATGTAAACATAAAAACCTTTATCAAAGTGTTATAAACAATAAAAGGGATGGCAATGCCTTAATATGTTTTTTCTTTTGTGCTATACCCACACAATCTAACATAAATTATTAAGTGAATAATAATCGTGCGTGCTATCTCGGGTATTCAAATGCCTCTCAATTTGTCATTAACCCTCCACATTACTGTCATTAAAAGAAGGAACTCCAATAATACTAATGCGAAAATTAAATCCACTGAAGCTGTGCAACGTTACCATACTGACGATTAAAAAAATGACACAAAAATTGATTGAAGCAAAAATTATCAGTGGTAAGTTTAAAAGAGAAATAGTCTTAATCCCAAGAATACTAAATGATTTCATCCAAATTACCCTCTGAATTTAAGCAACTACAATTTCTTTTGTGTCTTGCTTTCACAATCATCATTATAAGGCCCTAGGGCAATCCCTGACTATCGTCGGTTTAAATTTAGAAAATGAATGCTTTTCACACATACAGCTGTCTGTGTGAAAAGCATTCATTTTCTAAATTTAAACGAAAAATTTAAATTTAAATTTTTTGGTGATAGGCGACGCCAGCGAACACATAACAAAATAGAAGCGCTACTCGGAGCGCAGGAGCGTGGCAGTCTTACTAGCCGGCGAAACGGACAAAGATGGTGGCGCTAGCCTACCTGTCGGGGAAATAAATATGTGCACTCGAGTTTGAGCCTAAATATCTCAGAGATGAATAATCCAATTTTGTTGAAACACAAATTAAATATAAGCTGGTTTAAATACATTTTACGTAATAGCAATAAAAAAAATCCGTTTACCAGAAAAATTTATATTGTTGAAAGATCCTAAAAAGTACCGGGTTTTAAGAAACTCTGCACTAACACTGAAGTTTAAAATTTAATTGTAAACAAACCACTGAGCCAATCGGCCTGCCAGTTGTGGGGTAAATTTTTGTTTACAAATATATATCTGTTCAAAAAACACCTTTGTTCGCATTATAAATCTGTCATATTGGTGTTATTTCTTGTGTCACGACAAACACGATGATATTTTGAACGAAATTTTTAGCGTCTTATGAACGATGTTAGCATACGATTTAAAAATAAACATCAGCATACAAACTATCGTGAGTAAAAATTTTAAAATGCATGGAACTGTTAACAATAAATCTACCAATAAGCCATACAAATTTCAGAAAGATTGGCTCAGTAGTTTGTTTACAATTAAGTTTTAAACTTCAGTGTTAGTGCAGAGTTTCTTAAAAACCGGTACTTTTTAGAATCTTTCAACTATAAAAATTTTTTTGGTAAACGGATTTTTTTAAATTGTTACCACGTAAAATGTATTTAAACCAGTTTATATTTAATTTTTGTCTCAACAAAATCGGATAATTAATCTCAAGAGATATTTAGGCTCAAACTCAAGCACATATTTATTTCCCCAACAGTAGTCCCGGCGTGTGCAGCACGCTGGTCGCAGGGCTAGAGATATAGCTCTGCGCTAGTCGTCTGCTATGCTTGATGAGAATAGTGTAGATATAAAGTTAATGATATTAGTGTAAAGGAAAACAATGTAATTGAGGACTTGACGAACAAAGTACTTGGACAATGTGTAGGAGTAAATTTGTTTCCAAATAGTACAAATTTCTCAGGATATGAAACAATATGGACACAAATAATTTTTGTTTAGTACCTAATTAAAATTATTGCTCAAAAATATTTCAATGTTAGAGTTCGCTACTACTGTAAAATATTTAACGAAAGTCTTCACAAAAATAATATCAGGCAACATCTCAATAAAACTGTAATTTTTCTGGGACAATAAATTGAGTGTAGGTAATTTTACAAATATAATTGGGAAGTTTAATTTAACTTACAGAATTATCTTATAGTTTATCTTGGATGATACTGAAAGCTAATTAGTCCTTAAAAAGTTGTGCTAAACGGTTAAAAATTCTTCATAGGCAATATATTTGAAAATTTCTTTGAATATATTTGAAAATGTATAGACGACGGCCCGGCGGCGCAGCGGGCGTGGCGCGGAGCAGCGGCAATGGATCCCTTTTGTACCTGATTTTTTTAGAAAACCGAACACGATAAAAATTTTTGGTGAATCGGATAGTTAAATTTGGTTATTTATCCACAACTTTCCCGCTGACGAAATTTTTCTGACCAAAAAATAAAAAAATTCCTCGCAATACAACTTTTTCATGTCTGAATCTGAAAAATTAAACTACATAAGTATTAAACATATTTATAACTAAATTACTATCATAACTAATAATTTTATATTAACACCATCGTTTTCCTCAGTATTATATCTACAAGTGTGCAAAATTTCAGAATTTTTTGTCAACTATTAATGTTGTTTATGATCGTGTATTTGTCGCGGGGTTTTTAATTCGAACTGAGCTCGCGGGTCTTGGATTCAGGCTGTATGACGGACCAAGATGGCGGATTTGGCCACACTTTCAGTGCATTTGGTTAAACGCCGTGTCCTCTCTATTATTATTATTATTATGTGCTCGCTGGGCGACGCCTAAAATTTATACACCTAATGAAAAAACAAAAACCATTGTTTATCCACTGGCAAAGTAAAATATTCTATTTTTATTTTTGGTATACAATTTTATTATTCATCCTAAAGAACAAATTACCATTTAAAATAATAGTTGTTAAGCGCAGCAACCCGCGTCGGGTAACTGCTAGTAGCAAATAAAAAAAGAACATTTTTACAGATTATATTGCACATTTTAGTGATTTATATAAGTTATTTAATAGAGAAGTGCAAGCCGTTCGATTTGTGAACGGAGCTGAGTCTTGCCTAAAAGCTCGAGTGAACAAGTACTAAATAAAAAATCAAGCTTGAGCTGAGCTTCAACAATTTTGTAATATTATCGTGATTGCAGAACGTGTCTGTGAAGATTTTGAAAAAAATGAAATGAAATGAAATGAAATGAAAATGAAATGAAATGAAATGAAAATTGATTTTATGTTACAATTGAAAAATTCACGCTTTTATTGCGATTGTGGAAGACGATGGTGATGTTTTTGTGATTGCAGGTGATAATCTAATTTATTTATATACTGCATAAACCAGTTAACAGTTGTTGTTGATAACTTTATTTAGTACAAGCACTGGTATTGTAAAAATGCTTATATTAAATTTTTTTAATCATTAAAACAATTATGTCTTTCTTTGACTACGAGAGACGATAATGATATCTTCAATAGTGCAAAAGATGTTCAAGATTTTGCCGGGATCTTAGAAGACAAAAATTATGTCCAATTGATCATGGAAGATTTGAAATATTTTGCCACAATCTCAGAAGATTATGATGATGTCTACAAGACCATAGGAGATATCATGGAAGATGATTATGATGTTTCAGTTAAGGTGGAAAACGATGATGGTGTCTACACAACTGCAGGCAATGTTCAGGATTTTGCTATAATCACGGCTTCTGCTTTCTTTCATACCGTAACAATTCTTATTAGGTACTGTAGTTTTAGGTTTTTAAAATTTTCTGATAGTAATTCCGATGATCTGGGGTTCGAAAAGTTGGAGTTGTTGTACCATTTTACTCACTCAGATGATTACGACCTCTAGGCAGTTATTGTTGGAGTTATTACAAATAAAAATTATTAGAGCATCCATTCCAATATAATAGTTTATTTACCAAAATTGTAATACTCATACCTCCACATTTTCAAATAACTCTAAACAATGAGTTAAGAAGTTAATAACATGTATCTAAGTCATTAAGTAAAATAATTGTTAAAAAAAATATTTTATTTGATTATTTTAAAAGTTTAAATACTATGGTATTGTTAATTAACGAATGACTTTCATTACTTTATAGTATTTTTATGATCATTCCTCTGGCTGTGACAGGTGTTTGGAGGTAGAGACTGGTCTGACCCTAACAAGATCACTGGAATGTCACCACCAGACAATGGGACCTGCAAACGAGGGCCCTCTGTCAAGTTTAAGAAGAAAAGATCCATTGGGAACATTCAAACTCTTAAGGTTATAAAACAATTTTGTACTTGAATAATATAGTTATACATACTAAAATACAGTCATTACTTTACTAATCAATCATACTGTTAATACTGTTCGATGAAATGGCGACCATACATAGTAGGTATTTTAATCCAAGTATGAATAAAATTATCAATCAACTATCCATACTTCTAGACAGCTACTTCTTGGTTGAGTATTTTAAGCTGAATTTGAAATTTTACTTGAATGATTTTGTTATGTTGACATTGAAAGCAGTTATCTTTAAATTATTCATGCAGAATAGTTCTTTGAGTATGGGTTGGTTTCAATATAATTTTACACATTTAAAATCTTCTATAATGTCATACGAGCTGATATGCCAGTGCTTTACAACGAAAACTCAGAAGAGAATATTTCTGTTCTTAGGTTCTATTGCATACAATAGTTACTCGCCTATTATTCATTCTAGAGTAAAATTGTATTATTCCACTTAGTGAACAAAAATATTTTTTTTATCTATACTATAATGAAAAGAAAACAATCCTGAAATATAACAGACAATAGATTTGTGGAACCTTTGGTTTTGTTGTTACAAAACCAAAGGTGTTGTCAAGAACCAAGATGTTTCTTGTATTTAACTATTTGTTTATTGTGTTACCCATTGTAAGTTTGTATAACTTTCCTGATTGTCTACACAGCAAGACCTGGCGTGTAGCAAGATGGCAGAGTTTGGGGAGCTTGTAGGAGGTGGTACACTAAGGCGGGGGGGGCCAAGTCCCGGTGCCCCGCCCAGCCGTAGCCGCAGCATCTCCAGTGAGATGGAAGTTCCCCGCATCACCATGCTGGCCCAGAGCCCACACGGGTCATCTGACCACATAGACACCTCTAGTCCCACACACCTTGCCAGGTAAAAACGGCAACAAATTACTAAAAAGTGAGATTTCCACATACACTACCACTGACACTCCAAACTAGGTCTTCTTGGTACGATTACATCACAGACCGAAACCTATTGCTCTGTTCTGACCTTTAATTTTAGACAGCCATCCTAATTAAGAGCACTCCCCCGAAAAGGTGGGAAAAAAAGCTTGGCATATTAGTTTCTGAGGATACCTGTCTGCAAAGAGGGTAAAACAACAGCACTTAGCAATAAGTTTCTGTCTGTGACACAATCTTACCCAGAAGACCTCAAATCAAATCAAATCAACTTTATTCCATGGACACAAATTGTATATATTGAAAAATACAATAGTGTATAGGCTGTGTCAACAATATAACTTAAGACTTATCTAAGATTGAGGCAAAATAATCTTCTAGTTTATAAAAACAATTTTTTAGTAGAATTCTCGTGATGGCTCCTTTAAAAACATTTAATGATAACTAACTCTTTAACTCTAACTGGTAACTTGTACAATTTGGTAGCGGTATATTTAAAGCTAGCTTGAGTGGTGGCATAAAGTCATTGATATATTCTTATATTATTACAGTTTTTTGTCATAGTTGTGCACATCCTTATTACAAAGCAAAATATCACAGTTATTTTTAATATGGTATAATAGACATTGAAAGATATAAATACAGGCTAAGGGCATCACAGACAATTTCTTAAAGATATGCTTATAATGACCTAGATTGTAGTGGTAATAAATGTTATACACAATAAAGAGTTATCACTCTTATAGTACATATTTTCTGTAGACAGGGTGTTTCACGGGAACCTTGACAAACTTTGAGATATGTTTCCTTGGATAAAAACTAGAAAAAATGTCCTGTTAGCATAGTTTCTAAACTTACTCGTTTTCTATTTATATGTAAAATTTGTTTTCTTTTGGTTTACAATGTATCTGTTGAACATTTTTACCTCACCTGATTAAAAAATTGACAAGATATTTTGATAAACAAAAAAATAAAAATGATGCTTATAGGACATTTTTTCTAGTTTTGATCCAAGGAACCATATTTCCTTAAATTTGGTCATAGCTCCCTTGAAACACCCTATATATATGTACGGCACCGACTCTGAAAGGATAGCCCCCTATAATTATAGCAGTGTGGATTTCTCTTAAAAGAATCACTGAATAGAAAAAGGCTGGTTCTTTAGTACATAAAAAATGCGACCAAACCTCATAGGGGATAAACAAACATTACCTACTTTGGCAAAAACATATTTTTTCACAAACAAAAGGGGAGAGGTTCATTTGTCCGAGATTTCAGTTATCCAAGTTTGTTAAAAATTAAAAAAATATTAGAAAAATCAGTCGTCTGAGTTTTCATTTGTCTGAGGTTTTAAATTATTTTAAACAAATTTTGAAATATCAACTGTCCAAGTATTGTCAGCATCAAAAGTGACACTGGCGTGGAGACTAGCGTCTCAGGGTCCTTGTCAGAAACCGATGAGAATTTCTTCTGCGAAGGAGTGGGGGATTATAGGAGAGCCCCTCACGTCAACTTAAAAAAAAACTATAAAATTAACTTTATAATTTTTTAATTATAAAATTTAATTTTTAATTTTAAAACTATTTTTTTTAATTTTTAATTTAAAAATTAAACTGTCATAACCTAACCTAATTAACCAAACTTGCTGATAATATAAAAAATATATAAGATAAAAATTGAATGAAGGTTTACTAATAAATAAATAAATAGTCCTGTTCATAAAATAAAATTATAAATGCTTCAAATTCTAACAAAAGCTGACAGTTAAGAAGTAATCGCATTCCAAGCAAAATATTTGGCAAAAAGTTAATGTCACCGGTGAGATTGTATCATGGACATCAGTCAAGTATGCTAACCACTACGCCACGACACCTCATATCGTTTCTTATCGTTGCGGTAATCGTGTTCCCTCAAGAGAAGAGTGACGTCACGTCCTCCACTCCTTCACTAAATAGGTTCTCATCGGTTTCTGACCAGGACCCTGAGACGTTAGTCTCGGCGGCAGTGTCACTTTTGATGCTGACGATACTCGGACAGTTGTTATTTCAACATTTTTTTAAATACTTTAAAACCTCGGATAAATGAATGCTTGGACAGTTGATTTATCCAAAGATTATTATTATTTAATATTTACACCAACCTCGTACAAATGAAAACTCGGACAACTGATATTTTAATATAATTTAATAATCTCGGACAAATTAAAACTCGAACAGTTGATTTATTTAAATATTATTAGTTATTTATCAAACCTTGGACAAATGAACCTCGGACATCTGGTTTTCCTAATATTTTGTTATTTTTAACACTCTGAGTGTGGCATTCAAACAGGCGCTTGCCAATGACTGCTAGGCCTGGGCAAAGCTCCGGCGCGGTACCGTAACAGCGAACGCAATTGGCATTCAAATATTTCAGTGTGACAAATAACAAAAGAGCAGCGGTGATTGTACTACGTTACCCCAAGATTGGACGTAGTTCCCTGAAACACCCAAAGGTAGCAGCACTGCCTGGATCAGTAGTCAGTGGCTTTGTAATGTGGCTTGAAGAGAGAAAATCTCCATTGTCAGACGGGATTTTTCGGACCTACACCAAAATAAAGCTCACATTCTAAGCTACAGACTAGCAACAATTATAATGTTCCCCGGCAATAGCTGAGCTCATACTGAGCTAATGTAGTGGGGGTTGCGCAACTACATCAATTGATGTAGGCCGATAGGAGCGCTCGTGGCGCAACTACATCAATTGATGTAGTCAGCACTCTACGTGTTAACAAACTTGGACAACTGAAAACTCGGACAAATTATGTGATCCCTAAAAAAGATTTCAACAAATTTTGATAACGCCATGGATGCTTCGTCACCATTGATGCGTGTCACCTACCGTGCCAATTCGCTGGCTTTGCCACCCTGCTTTGGCAGCTGCATGTTACGCATGGTCCTTAATTGCGCCGGCCCTGTATAAGTACCAGTAGATATAGACAACACAATGTCATACCTAAAATAGAAGTAAAAAAAAAATGTTTTAATAAATCCTATTAACTCAATGGCATCACCAAATACTACCACCAATTCCTGTTGGTTTGTAGATATAAATCTAAAATGACCCGTTAAAAAGATTGGCTAATCTTATATTTAAGAATTTTTTAACCCTCCGAGTGTCCATAGTTTAGGCCTTAATGTCCGCCTATTTTTGGCGCATTTGCAAGGTTTTATTAAAACGGATCTGAGAAGCTTAAAACAATGTTAATTCTACTGTTCTATATACCATTTTGTTTGGAAAATCATGGGCTTCAGTATTATACATAAAACACAAGGAACATTTGTTTCAACAAAATTTTTTAAGTAAAAAAAAAAATATTTTGGAAAATTTTCAAAAAAAAAAATTAGTTTGCGCTCAATGAAATTGTATAAATTATAGGCCTATAAATATTTGAAAATAGCCACTTTGTTCTAAATTTTATGAGGATTACAAATATATAATAACTAGCTGTAACCCGCGGGCTTTGCCCCGTTTAACTTCTTAATTTTCAAGATTATCTTGTTTGCATGGCTCAATCACGTCCTGGTTGAAGTTTGTTCGCTACGCTCACTCACCTTTAGGTTAGAGCTCGTTCGCTACGCTCACTCACCTTTAGGTTGGACTAACCATAGCTAGGAATCTGGCTGATAATTTACATCAATATCACTACCTACTTCTTCAGGATCATCAACCAGCCCTTCAAAATCACTTAAATATTCTTATAATGCACCACGTATATCACTACTTTTGATTTTTAACACTAAAACAATTATAAACGTAATTAAACACATCAGTCATCGGTCCGAGGTTAACCTAGCTGTTTACAAATACGCACGTCAGCTGTCTGCTACAATATTTTTGGAACTAAAATGAATAGCGCTTGGAGACAGACCTCCGGAGAAAGCTCTGAATCTAACAAAAAGAACGATACCATAGATAAAACATACTCCCTTAGTAGATTTCTCATCCTTATGGAACAGCTGAAGCCAATTTTATTGTTAGTTCTGTCCGGTTTTCTGTAGAGTTCGTGTTTTGTTTACAATTTGTTTCCCGTTATTACAGCCATTTAAAACCTCGTTTAACCAAATAATACGATCTAATCATAAACAATAACTTGTCCCCTAGTTATATAACCAAACAGTAAAGCACAAATCAAGAAATTAACCCTAAAATAATGGAAACAAAGTTTCATCGACACTAGCGCCTTTGTGTCACGTACATGAACGAGACACGAAAAACGTGCTTCAAAATTTACAATGGGATGAGAAGTCTACTTGTGTTAGTTAGTCTATGACGATACCTAACTCGATCCAGTTCAATCCGATTCAGTCAGTCATAGAGCCTTCGCAGTAAACGATGTTCGTGTGTCGAAAAATCGACAAGTGACACTACACAAAGTGTGTCGTGAGTCGATTTTTCGACAAGTGACGCTCGAAGGGTTAATAGTTCCATTAATTAAAATTACTATCTATAATATTAAAACGTGACAGGGTTTTTTTATTTCACGATTCTAAATCAACCACTTGACGGATTTTTAGGATTTTTGTGTTGAAAGAAAGATAATTTTGAAAACTAGGGAATGTCGAAGCCATAATTTTAGTTTAGGGTCCCAGTTATTTAGAAATTAAGTTTTAATTTTTTTTAAGTCTAGCAGCCGACGCTAACATTCTAAACTAGCTTTTGGTATAAAATAATTTGCTTAACATAACAGCTGTAAACATTAAGCATGTGTGACACAAATTCAGCATTTGGATAATAATGGCACACATAGGGTTGACTTATTAATACTATGTGTAATGCTATACTCATTGATACGTTCATTTAATCGGTTAGAGGATGAAAGATTATTTAAATATACATGGTAAAATGCAGGATGTTCTAATTAATTTTTTGAGCAGTATTTAAAATTTTAAGTTTGTTTTAGTGCAATATAATTTGTTTTAACTAACAGCTGGTTGAATATAAAAAATATTTTATACAACTATCAGGTTAGTTTATTGTTCTATGATTTTGCCATTGATTATAGGAAATAAATAGGATTCTATAGCCACTGTTGTATACAAATATGCCCCGAATCTTCAGAGGAAAGATTATGCAAATTATTTTTGTCCTACTTTTTGAGAAATGAATAGGAAAATAACAATATTCACATGTTTTAATTAATCTTGGTAGCTTTTTGCTTACAAAAATGTTTAACCGCTTAAACTCTGCTTGGATAAGAAATGGAAATATTTACATAACTTCAGTTTTAGTTAACTACTCAATTCCTGTACGTAGGACGGGCCAACAGCTCGTTAATAATTTATTTTACAATTACATTTTTATTTCTAATCTTTGTTCAATGTTATACTTTTGTATTGTACCTAGTTAAATTCATTCATTTGATATTATATATTTGACATTTATTATTATTTTATTTATTGGATAGAAAAATGTTCATTTTTTTATGTGCTAAATGTTGTTAAAGACTCATAGATATTCATTTTAGAAAGCAAAAAATTTTGTCAACCAAATAGACGGTTGTTATCAACCATTGTTTCAAAGTGTTATGTTTTTGGATGTACATATTACCTTAATTATCGTTGAAAAAACACTTATTCATTCCATGGTGTACCTCAAGGGTCAATATTGGGCCCTCTGTTTTTCCTGATCTTTATTAATGAATGACCTTCCAAAAGCTATTGGCAGAGATTTAATCTTATTTGCTGATGATACAACAGCAATCATAAGAGAGGATTCAGTAAATAACTTAATTGTATCAATAGAAAACACTTTGGATTGTATGAAAAATTGGTTTACAGATAATGGTTTAAAGCTGAATATTGACAAAACTCATATAATTAAATTTTCTTTAAAAAAACAATGTAATTCTTGATAAAATTCCAAATTTAGTAGAATCTCATAGATTTTTGGGTGTATTGCTTGATACTCATATTAATTGGAAGATTCACATAGATAAGATGAAAGGCAAACTAAGATCTATTTCTTTTGCTTTCTTTCACCTGATAAACTGTGTACCTCAGGATACATGTATCACAGTTTACTATGGATACGTTGAATCCATCTTGAGGTATGGAATCATACTGTGGGGAGTGTCAACAGAAGTCAAATCCCTACTAATTTTACAGAAAAAAATTATTAGAATCTTAACCAAATCAAGAAGGAGAAAATCATGTAAAAACCTGTTTAAAAATCTTAGAATTCACACCATTTTTGGATTATACATAAATGAAATTCTAAATTGGATACATAACACTAAGGAAAATTTGTCAGATGTAGTCAAATTTACACATAATTATAATACAAGGAATAAATATAATTTCAGATTACCACATCACAAATTGACGACTTTTAGGAACAGCCCTCAATATATGGGACTTAGATTGTACAATGAATTACCCCTGTATCTTAAAAATTTAAATGCTACTCAATTCAAAGATAAAATAAAAGATAAAATAATTGAGAAAGCCTACTATTCACTTGACAAATTTTTGGAGAACCCTATAATGTAGATAAAAATTCTCTGATATCCTACATGAGTTTATTTTTATTATTTTAACTATTAATTTTACTATAAAATACATCACTATGACGAAACACCTGTTCTTATGTATGAAATATACTTTATAAAGAACGTATTGTGTAAATAAAATATGTCTTATGTCTTATGTCTATGTCATTTCATTATATATTTGACAACTAGCAGAGTACCCGTCCTTCGTACGGGGTTGGAATATAAGTATAAAATGCTTATTGCAGTTATACTCAAGCTTTGCGTTTGCAATATGGGAGGACACAGTTTGATAAAATTTGCTTTTTTAAATTTACAGTATTCTATAGTATTACACATCAACCATAGCCATAATGTTCTACCGCTTCACCTAAACAATAGAGAAAAATAAATTATCAACAATTCGCAAAATATCACAAATTATTCATGAAATGAAAAACATAAACATGACTGTAAACAATCCTACTTTGACAGTTCTCATTGCGAATCACAGTTTTTTGTTGCTGCTTAGATCAAATTAGCTATTGTCATAAATGCAAAAAAAAATATAGTGCTGCACCCTGTTGGTAAATCTTATAACTTTTTAATGCTTTTCCATATCATAGAACCAACTTTTTTAGTTGAAACAGCTGACTAAATTCTTTAATTCCCTTTAAATATGAATACTCATAAGGTTAACATGGGGAATTACAGAGCCACTGGGGAGGAGCCCGAAAGGATTTTTGAGATAAGAATATGCCTATATGTTAATCCGGAATGTAAGCTATCATCATGCCAAATTTCAGCCCAATCCGTCCAGTGGTTTATGCGTGATTGAACTTCAAACAAACAAACACACAAACTTTCACATTTATAATATTAGTAAGATAAGATGTATTTAGTTTTTTTTTAATAATAAGTTATGTGTAAAGTGGTGGGAGTGGGTTGAGTATTGAGGAAGCCCAAAAATGGCTCTTGCATGTTTGGGAAAACACCTCGCACCGGCCCAATTGTATAGTATTTAAAATAATATCACAATCATGTAGTCAGACTAAGTTGGGTAAAAGAAAAGTTAAATTAGCATTACAAAATTTATAAATATTAAGATTTTAAACCTACTGGTGCGACATTTGATACCTTTATAAGTTAGTGTACAAGTTAATGTATTAATACAAAGTAAATGTCTAACTTCACATAGTATATCTTTTCTCATTTCTTGATTTCTGAGTTTAAAAACACTTTTTCAGGGAAAAGATGAAAACAGATGTCTTTGCTCAGATCCGGAATTTTCGACACGGATCTATAACTCACGAAACACAATTGGATTTCAATGACTTTGTTGCCTTATTTCGATCATTCAGGTAAGACTATATTCTCTTATCTTAACTTGCAGGGGCAAGCCAAAACCATAAAGCACTTCATCCGAATAGTCAAATTTTTACTCTCACCAGGAAGTTGTTTTATTGATTGACTAAAACATCTCTTAGATTTGTATACATATTGCATGATTGGGAAACATTGTCAGTAGGGACGTGTGTCTATTCTTGATACAACCGATACTTGGCAATTGGTATCAGTATCGAGAATCGATCGTCAAATGTCGATTCCATTACCGATACCCAATAATCCACTACCACTATTGCTGTAAACGCGTAAGACGACGACGACGTTTCCGTGACCACGGGACACGATGATGATGTCTACACGGCCATGGGAGATGTTCATGTTTCTGCCACGATCACGGGAGATGTATCACAACTCACTGGTCAAGTTGCTGGAGATGACAATAATGTCTACACTGTTGCGGAAGATGTTCATGATTGGGCCGCGATCGTGGTCGATGACGTTTCCGTGACCGTAGGAGTCAATAATAATGTCTTCATGGCCTTGTAAGAATTTGATGATTTTGCTGTGATCGCGGAAGAGAAAGATCACGTTTCCGTGACCGTGTATTTGTTTATTTGGAGCAACAAAAAAAACTAATTTGGATTGAATGTTAACTCCAATGTTATAGACTTCAAAAGAGGTCTATAAGAGTAATGCTGAAATTGAATTCTTATGATTCGGTCAGGGATCATTTCAAACAGTTAAAAATAAAAATACTAACGGTTTATGGTCAATATGTTCTTGACGTCATTTTATGTGCAAAACAAAATTCCTAATGATGTCCCCCACGAACCTACATCATTATAACACTAGAAAAAAGAACTCTATAAGGCAAAATCAGCACAAACTGAAGCTCTATAAAAAAAACCAACATATGCTGAAGAAAAGTTTTTAAAAATAATCCCAAAAAATATAAAAATATAAAAATTTAATTAACTGAAAGTGTATTTAATTAACAAAGTAATTTACCCGCTAGATGACTTTCTTAACCTCCCTCTTAAATAAAGTATGAACCAATATAAATGTATCATTAGAATAATAATTGATTGCTGAGACTATTTAATTGTAGCTTTAATTGTAGGCCTACTTGGATGAAAGAATATCGTTAATTGTCTATTAATTGTCTATTACTTCCAAATTAATTAATTGTCTATTGTACAAGCCAAATTCCATAAAAATTGCACAAAAATTACTCCAGTTATCGCATTCACGGACGTCTATATGAAATATACATATACAAATATGAACGAACTATGTATTTGTCCCCTAGGGACATCAAAATGGAAAAGTATATCACTCTTGGCTCTAGGTCTTACCATGCCATCTACGGTAATAGCTACTTAATTCGCTAAAAACAAAACAGGTGTTGTTTAAAACCCCTGTTAAACTCAATAATGCTGTCAACTTGTATCCAAGCCAGCTAAGTCACACATTATTGAGCTTAGTATGCATTGCACATGTACGGGATTTTCCGATTTTCCAATTTGTTTTGCATACAAAATTTAACCATAACCTGATTTTTGTGCTTTTTAAGCCATATTGTTTACACTTTACATTTGGCATAAAATTGGATGAGCAAATGTTTTGTACAGTAGATCTCCTCATATCCGACCTCGGAACAACCGACTCCTCGGGATATCCGACCTTGGAATAATCGACTCCTCGGGATATCCGACCTTAACTTGTTTCCTGTCTGCGGCGATAACACAGAGCGCGATCACTTAACCGAAAGGCCGCTCACAGGTGTTGCGGTTGTCTCGGTAGACAATTACCGAAGTCGCAGAGACTGTAAGTTACGCTCACGGGTGTTATCGCGGTCACTGGAGACGATTACCCATGTCGTGGAGACTGCAGGTTATGCTCCTTCCAAGCCTTTTGACCGTTCCGACCATGTCCCGGTCCTGTTATGGTCGGATATCAGTGGTTTTAATGTACTATGAATCTTTTTTAATCAAACTTCAATACATCTTCAGATTATTTACTTGGTTTTAGAGGTTAGCCATGATGGAGGTATGTCAACTTTTATTACGGTACGGTAACCTAAAGCACCATGACACTTTTTTGCATTGAATTTTCTAAATATTTAGTAAAGCAAGTACAAATTTACTATGGACAGACCAGTTGGTTTATTCTTCTTTTGTTATTTCCTCAGCCTGAGATCCAGAAAGGACTTGCGGGAACTGTTTGATCAGTTAGCCATGTCTTGCAGAAGTCTATCCGACAGCTCTCTCAACGACTCAAGTGCCAAAAACTCACCAGAACAAACAACTAAAGTACCAAAAATAGGTAGGAAACATGAAATGTCATCAAATAAATTATTAATTCCTTATAGAATACTAATTGAAAGTAATAATTGATTGGCTGCATATCCAATAGTCAATGATATTATATAGTAGATCAAGTACTTAATATACCACTTAGTTAGGGTTACCATAAGACCGGGTTTCATCTGGACTTTCCGTATTTAAAATATGTGTTTGGTTCGATGTTTGAATCTGAGAAATGTCTGGATCTGACAAATAAACAACAATGTGGTAAAATCGGGGAAATTTTACCCTACGCCACTCCACAGGTTGGCCGCACTGCCTAGTGTAATCAGATTCAAGAACAATTACATCTTTAAACATATGCCTGAGCTATGGGAAGAGCTGTGCTGACTAGCGGGGAGAGGAGAGGCGGTTTGATTTTTCAATTTTAGAACTAAGAACTTCAAATCTCAATTCTGTTGAGAACTTTAGAGAAATCTCAATTCTAAAACTGTAACTGAAAAGTCTGTATATCAAACTAGGTTAGTTACAAGTTTTACTTCTCAAAATAGCTTGAACCGCTTTTAAACAAATTTTCCGATTCCATACCATTTAAATAGTTTGGCCGATATAGGGTCAACAAATTATGGTAACCCTTGACTTACTGCTTTAGTAAATCAAACATTTAAGTTAAGTACAGTACCATTGTTTAACAAATATTTTCTGAAAACTGCCCATCCTACTGTGTGTGTTGATCTATACATTTTACAATTTTAGGGCAAGTTAATGAATGCTCTTACAACTTTCTTATGTGATGTTGGAAACAAACTACATGTATGAAACAATTAATGACATCACTCCAATAATTACTAAAATTAATCAATAGTGCAGTGTTCTACTACTCATATACACCCAATTCTGTAGCTTTAATACATTGTTTTATTCACAAATTAAGCATGAAAATTACAACAAAATTCCAGCAACAAAATAAAACAAAATTATAAGAAGAAATTATTTTGAATCAGTGTAAAAATTACATAATTCATGTTTGTTTTCTAATTACATTTTCACTGGGACTATCATTGGATGATTATCAGTATAAAGTTTAATTTCATGATATTTTTCATATTAATAGAAATATTGATAAACATTAAACATATTGTTTTTGTTTTGCAGGTCTATTAACAAGGAACAGCTCAGCGGATCTCATGGAATACAAAAGCACACCAATTCAACAAAAAAAGAAAATCTTTGATGCAATTGCTGCATCAAGTATCATTTCTAATTGTGCAGGAGTTGATACTTCCAAATCTCAAGTCATTACTCTTGCAAACTTTATGACTTTTTTAGAAACGAAACAAATGGAACATCGCTCTGAAGAAAAAGTCAAAGAACTAATTCAGGTAAATTAAATTTTCCAGCCACATAGATATTGTTCATAGGAATTATAATAATGCTATGAGTAGAAAGATAGTTTTTTAGTATCATCAGTGCCGGATTTAGAGCAGAACCATGATTAACCGTCTCCCTCTAAACCATCACTCTCTGTTATCTGTCAACCTGCTACAAAGTATTTTGATTATTTTAAAATGGGATTTTATTTCACTGTACGACTATTGAACAAATAACAAAAACCAATAATATAAAAACAGTTGTGTATTACTCTTGTATGCAAGTAATTTATTTATAAGTATATGTATTATTTACTTGTACAAAGTTTAATTTCTTCCAAAACCTTTTAAATCAACTTAACTAGAGCCTTTGGTAGAAATTCTCCGCAATCACACCAAAGTCGTGATCATCCCCCATGATTACGACATCATCATCACTTACGATCGCTTCCATCTCCCGTAGATCATGGGAACATCAGCATCGTCACATCTCCTCTAAATCAAGGGGACATCACCATTGACACTGCAGAGAAATTGTGAACATCTCCCCTAAATCAAGGAGATATCATCATCATTACCCACGATCGTGGAGAGGTCGCAAATATGTGCAAAAATCTCCTTTAAATCAACAGGAAATCATCGACAAATGAATGAGCGACCACTGACAAATCGTGAACATCTCCAGCGGGCCGCGATCACGGGAACATCATCACCGTTGAACATCACAAATTATTAATTAAAAAAAATTAAAATCCACATTTTTTTCTCTTCAAACAACTGACTTTGTACAATACGCTACAGTCCCGTTTTGCTCGCAGCTCTAGGCCGCTGCCTAGCCAGCTTAGTGGTAAATCCGGCACTGACTATCATTATATTCTGTTATAATAATAGAATCAATAATCGGTGGTTTATATTTCTGTATCAATAGACGAATTAAGTACAGCTCAATATTAAAATTACAGTTTTAGAATCCATGGCTCATCTCCCCCAAAATAAGTAGAGATTTGAAAGTGAGCCAATTCACTGTATTCCACACTTACTCAACCCTTCCCAGACGGCCTTTTGAATGTAGATAGCAATTTATTTTATTCAAATAGAAACTAAAAATATATCTTTTTATATCTATCATTTATATAAATGTTGTAAATAATAGTTGACCTATGCAGAACTTTTATCCAAAATCATTTTTTGTATACTTCATTTATTATCTTTTTCTTATTTTTTAAAATTTTGTATTATTTTTTAATTTTTTATTCTTCTAGAAAAATAATTCTTAAATCGGTTAAAGATATAATTTAATAAAATGATGTTTTTACGAAGACTAATACTAAGACTATTACAAAGACTATAGGCAATCAACTATAACAATGAATGTCTTAATAATTGGAGGTTATATCAGCATACCCTCCGCGGAGCCCAAAAAGATAGACGAATATATCTGACAATAGTCCAGGAAAGGTTAAAAGAAGGGACCTAAAATTTTACTTAGTTTTTTTATAAAGTGGCAAACTAAAATTTATAAAGATTCACTTAAATTTATATCGTACTTACAGAACCATATTTCATAAAAATATGATAAAGTTAAGCTAAGATGTGTAAAACATAACTTTATGATAAATTAGTACACTTATAACTGCTTGACTACATAAACATATAATTTTTTCATAGAGATTTAAAAATTCAATTAAGTGTTTTATCAAACTCCAATATGACATTTCTTTTGTGATACAGCGACACGAGCCAGATCCTATTTTGCGCTCACAGAACTGCCTCTCATTCGAAGGGTTTGCTCGCTACATGATGGATAAGGAGAACTTTGCCTTTGTGAGTGAGCGAGTGAGTCCAGATCCCAATGAGATGGAGTACCCCTTGTCGCACTACTACATCGCCTCGTCTCACAATACCTATCTCACTGGACACCAGCTGAAGGGTGAGAGCTCGGTGGACCTGTACAGCCAGGTGCTGCTGACAGGGTGTCGCTGTGTAGAGTTGGACTGCTGGGACGGAGACGACGGATCTCCCCTCATTTACCACGGACACACCTTCACTACCAAGATTGCATTCCGGTCCGTTGTGGAAGCTATCAATCGGAGTGCATTTGTCACCTCACCCTACCCTGTGATATTGTCGATTGAAAATCATTGCTCGCTCCAGCAGCAAACTCGAATGGCTCAGATATTTCTGGTAATGAGCTATACTGAATATAAATGTTAAATAATGTATATTTTCATCTTTTGTTTTGCCTTTCAGATTACTTCATGAATTGTATACAAGAGGTTAAGTTACCTTGATTCTGTCCAAATAATCCTTAAGTCGTCATTAGTGCGACCGGTTTCGATGTCTATGGCATCATTGTCAAGCTGGACGTAGAATCGCTCTTAGGAGGTCGTCATGAGTCTTGAAAAACACGTAACACATAACACGTACACAAACAAAAAACGATAAAATGCATGGCCACACAACTAATTTATACACATGTTTTTCAAGACTCTTGACAACCTCCTAGGAGCGATTCTACGTCCAGCTTGACAATGATGCCATAGACATCGAAACCGGTCGTACTAATGACGACTTAAGGATTACTTGGACAGAATCAAGGTAACTTAACCTCTTGTATACAATGTATATTTTATTAACGGTCTATTATATATGTTGTATGTTTGTATTGCCTGTTCATTTGAAAATGGGAATTTCAATATAACTGAAATGTTTAGTTACTTCTGAATAAAAAAAATCGTAAGCCTAAACTAAAATGGATTGTTTCTGAAAATTACCAAAAAGTTATTGTTATTTGTGAAAGAGAAGGATCAAGACAAACTAAGAAGTAATGTTAAATAATGTTTACATTCGGGCGAGTGACATAATTTTTTTATATTTATGATCCATATCCTTTCTGTTCTAATATTCGTGCAGTATTTAATATGTTTCAACCAGCTGTGTGGAAATGTGAAATCAATATTCATTCAACAGTTCTGCTTGCTAACATTTAAACTTTGTGAGATTTTTACTTGTTACCATGTAGACCAATCAATATTTACTTTTAAATCTCTCACCTCAGAACTTTGAAAGCCCGCGGGCAAGTCCTAGGTCAATATCGAAGCGAGAATACTTCTATTTGTATCCTCGGAGCTGTACCTTTATTTTTGTCCAATTTGAGCCCAGTCGGTTCAGTAGTTTTTGAGTTCATCTCATACAAACTCACAGACACCATCTCTTCTTTATAATAGTATAGTAATAATATAATAGTATAATAGTCAATCAGTGTTTCAGTACAGGTCAGTTCCCAGATAAGCTTAAATTATCTGAGGTAATACCAATATTCAAGAAAGGCAGTGGCGTCATTTCACCAAATCTTTGAGGGGGGGAAACACGGGGGGTATGGAATACCCCCACGCAAACGGGGGGGTGGGGGTGGAAAATTTGGCAGTTTTTAAGAAAAAAAGAGGGGTTTAAACTTATTTTAATTGTCAAAAGCACTTTGAATGAAAACAAAATTATGAGTAAAATTTATTTAAATTTAGGCAGAAAGTTAATGGAACTAACAATTATTGACAACAGACAGAAACATAATAATATTTTGGTAAGTTAGTCATCTAAGAAACGTGATCAATAGTTCCATGTTGTATTAATATTATTTTTTTATTAGATTTATGACAAAATTCTCTTGTACAACATTTAGAGCAATGAATACGGTTGTATTCATAGCCTATAGTTTATAGCAGTTTAATATGGTTTAAAAATAACACAAGTATTTAAGTACTTAAAAGCAAATGAAATATTATTATCAATAAAATAATTTTACACAATTAATTTTGAATGTGCTACAAAGACACCAAAAAAATAATATTTTGTTTCAAATTACTGTAAAAGAATAGTCAGATTTTTTCTGCCGTGCTTTTTAGGATTTGACAGGAGAAAATATTTGTATATTAGCTAGTACAGCAATTTTTTCTCTAGCCCAGGAACCAGGAGGGGCAAATGCCCCCCTGCCCCCCCCCCCCCAAATGACGCCCCTAAAGAAAGGAATGAAAACATATACTGTACAACAAATTACAGACCTATTTCTATTTTAAGTAATTTTTCCAAAATATTTGAAAAAGCAATAAATTTAGGCTTTACCAATTTCTTAGAAAGTAATAATCTTTTTTCAAAATCACAATTCCGTTTTAGGAAAAATCAATCTACATCTGCCTTGACTGGGTTGGTTAACATGGTCACAGAAGCATTGGAGGGAAAACAGAGTACTGCATGAATTTTCTGTGACCTATCAAGTGTGTTTGACTGTGTTAATCACAAGATTTTAGCAAATAAACTAAAGAAAGTAGGTATTGGCGATAAAGTCATAAAACTACTTAAATAATAGAAAACAACGGACAGAGATTTTAAAAAGTAAAAGAAAATTTGTATCAAGAGTGGAAAAGGTCATCCATGGAGTTCCCCAGGGTTCAATACTGGGCCCTTCAGGGCCGGATTTTGAATTTTTGCGCCCCTAGGCCCAAATAATTTTCCGCCCCCTAGTCTGGTCACAGTTACTTTCCTTCAAACCTTTATTAAAAACTATATTATGCCCATAGGCCTAAGTTAATTGCTTGAATACCACTCCTCGCCGGAATCATTGCCAGTTTTTTTTTTATTGACTTGTTTAGCCTTAACAAAATGCCGTTTTAAACACTGTTAGCAATTGTATGCTTTTAATAAATGCTAATGCTCTGCTCACGTTTGTGGCCGTGGGACTGAAACAAAACAACTCAAACCACCGAGAATTCCTGAAAAAAAAAACGGCCATTGATTCCAATTCCAGGCCCAAAAACCTGAACTCCATACAGTACGTAATACCATAGATTAAACATAGGCTACTCCTTTAGTAGATTTGGCATAATTTTGGATTAGCTGAAAACAATTCTTGTTATTTAAGGAGTATGTTTTATCTATGTTTGTGCTAGTTTGTGCTATGTTGTATCTAGTTTATCCAAAATAAAACGATCTAATCATCAACAATAGGTCGTCTCCTGTTTATATTACAAAAAATTAAAACACACATCATAGAACTAGCCCTAAAAAAATAGAAACAAAATTACGTTAAAACTAACTTCCAATATCACCCACATGAACTAGACATGAAAAAATTTTGAATTAACAATGTCATAAGAAGTCGACTTGAGCTATATTTAATCTATGGTCGCCCTGCATCTAGGTTATATTTCCAAAGCAAAACAGAGCAATACTCCTGCCAACACCGATCCTTAGGTCTGAGGAGAAAATGACAGCTTTAATGGTGCTTTGGAGGGTATTGAATGTTTCTAAAATCTAATGCAAAATGAGATTAATAATTTTTCGTTAAATTTAAATGCAAATTAATCGTTGTTTTAATATTCAACACAACGTATTATATATTTTAACTTGATCCTGCAGATTGTTGCAAACTAATCAAAAGATTAGTTAAAAACTTTTGTTTTGTAAAGTGAGGGTGGTAACAATGTCTAGCACGCTTGCGCCCCTAATCACTATGATCAGTAATGCCGAGCCCGAGCCTGAGCCAGCCGAGCCAGCGTAGTGGCCCAGTGCAATGGCATACGATGCGTACACCTTGGGAGCTCGTCAACGTCAACATCCCTACAGCCTACTCCCGTATAACCAATGTTCGTTAGCAACTTTGTAACGAAATTGATGCATAATTCTGAAAAATATTTTAAATTTCATAACAATAATTTCTTCTTATGAACTTCAGAAGTTTTTTTTATCATCTATGACTATTTATTTTTATTTTTAGATAGCCTATAACAAAATTCCTCTTGGCCGTGCGCCCTCTGGGACCTTGCGCCCATAGGCCCAGGCCTACCGGGCCTATTGGGAAATCCGGCCCTGGGGCCCTTTATTATTCCCGATATTTATCAATGACATTGATTCTCACATATCTGGTGATATTTTCTTATATGCTGATGACACCAACGTCATAGTCCAAAATTCAAATATTCAACAACTAAAAATCTCCATTAAAAAGACTTTAGAAAAACTGCAAGTTTGGTTCACAAAAAATGGTTTTCTAAGGAATAATTCAATAACACGTATAATGCATTTTATTCCCATTTTATTTTTGAATCAACATGAATGCCGATTCAAAATTTTTTTCAAATTTCAAAAATAAAATGTGACAACCGAATACATTGCTTAACAAAAAAGCTCAACTCTTTTTGTTTTGCGTTAAGTGTAGTTAATGATGTCTACTGATATTGGTAAACTAAAGGGTGTCCCAATAAGAACGCCGGATTTGAAATGTTAACAAACCATATATTTTCTCGCTAAATTTACAATATGAAACATGAATCTTAAAGCATAATATCTCCGATTAGTAATTGAGTATTATGTCTTGTAAGTGCCAACCTGCTGAATACTGACAAGCTCGACATCTCTTGACAAAGTTTTCCATCACTTTTTCACACACTTCCTGTTGAATTCCGTTAATGGCACGAATCATTTCCTCCTTCAAGTCTTGGATTGTTTGAGGGTTATTGGCGAAAACAAGCGACTTTAAATATCCCCAGTATAGAACTGAGCCAATTTATTCGAACTTATAAACCAATCTTCGGACAGATGGATCATTTGGTGCATTGTCCCGGCCGTAAATAGTGCGCAGCTTCCGTACTTGTAGTGCACTTTAACTATGACCACGCGTTGTTACGTCGTGTAGCGATTCATGACTACGAATGGGACCTAATACGGGTAACATTGCTGATAATTTGGGAATTCCTATTGAAATACAGATAAGGATAAGACGCTCCTCAAATCCGGCGTTCTTACTGGGACACCCTTTAGTATATTATGCCTACATGGAATATAGACTCAGATATGGTATTGTTCTTTGGGGATCCAATTCCAAAACAAAAAAACTTCTCAATGCACAGAAATTAGTGGTGAGGACAATGGCAAGTTTCCAAAAGAAAAAGCTGTAGCTGTAGATCATTATTTAAAGAATTTGGAATTTTAACAGTAACAGGTTTATTTACAGGGTGTCCCGGAACACTCTACCAATATTTTAGGGTATTGCTCCTGGGTAAGAAACATATCTAAATATCATATTTAAATTGCTCAGAATTCCTTATAGTTACTAACACAGCTGCCACTTTTTTTTAATTATTAATTTCTTTCTAAAGAATGGTTAAACATACGAAATGGAAACTTTGCACAAACATTTATGACCACTAGACAAAGCTACCAAAAAATTATGAAGATTTTTCAAATTCATTAAACAAAATGGTGGTCATTTAAAATTTAGTTTTTAGTTTCTTTAATAACTCAAAAACCGTTGATTTTACAAGAATAACTTTTTTAAGGAAATTTCATTACAAATCAATTGACATCTTATTTTGTAAGATTTAACAAGTATTAACTGAGATATGGCAACTTTAGTTATACGTGAGCGCTTTCAGCATGCAGCAACTAATCTTCAGCGGTCACGTATCACTAAAGTTGTCAATCTCAGTTAATACTCGCCCAATCTTAAAAAAGAGGTTTCAATAGATTTTTAATAATATTGCCTTAGAAAAGTTATTCTTATAAAATGTTTGTAAAATCAACGGTAAAAAACTCAATTTTTTTACAGAATGTGTTCGGAGACAAATTGGTCAAAAACTTTTTATTTGAAGCCGACTTTGGAGATGAACCACAACTACCTTCTCCTCTTCAATTGAAGTACAGGATTCTGGTGAAGAACAAGAAGCTAACGGCAGAGATACCAGCCTGGCCAATACAGAGGGGAGGAGGGGGACGTGCTAGTCAGCGACCCCCACAGTCAGGGGTGGCAGGGACCGGCAGAGCATCATCTATCATCAGCAACACCAGCGGCGGCAGCGTCAACGATGACTTCAGTGATGATGATGATGATGACGATGACGATGATGATGAAAATATTGATGGTAGGGATTGATCAATTAAGTCAAAAGTTTGTAAAGTTAATACCAACAAATTAAATTTCTTTATTGTTAATTTAATTTGATAACATAAACAAATTTAATAGTGACAACATTTAATATGCTAATGGATGCATTTAAATAATTACTGTAATCTAGGTAACTAACCTCAAAGAACTAAACTTCAAATAAATATTCTACTCTTTGCTTGTAAAATTAAGTAAAATATTTACAACATGTCTATATTCTAAAAATTGTGTTTTAAAAGGTCAATCTTACAACAGGTAAAAACTAATTGATGTTTCTTTACATGGGGGTGTTGAAAAGCTTGAAAATATATCTCTTGGTATTTTTTTTCCTTGGCACTGTTAATTTCTCAAAAGTAAATTTCCTCAACCGAGTGTGGCTCTTTTATCATAATGCCAAAAGCAGGTAACAAAATGTACAACAGGACAACAACAGTTTTAAGAACATAAGCCATCTCAAGGTAAATAATATATTCAATATGAACAACTTATTTTGCTAGATTAAAACTCAGTAATTTTCTGTTTGCAGTGCAGTGCGCAGGAGGAGCCCCTGTGTGTCCCAGGACAGATTCTATGTCTAGTCATGAGAGTGCACAGAAGACACCATTGAGAGGTACAGGCAAGTCTCCTGCCGTGCCACAGGTGGATGTCGACTGGTCTGGCTACCTGGACGATGAACCCAACATTCACAAGGCCAAGAAACAGAGCAGTCAGATAGCCAAGGATCTCTCGGACCTAGTCATATATGTCCAGGTAATTATACTATCACTCTTTATCTTTCAGGGAACTATTTACTCTTTTCATCATGTATTAAATTTACATTAGATTTATTATAGTCTAGTCATATTAGAGAAATTACCTAAAAAAGCTCTTATAAGTGTAAAACTTGGTACCTCTATTGAGTTTTACTTCCGGAATGACATACTAAAAGTCCTCGAAAAAAACTTGTGCTATGGCCGCCATCTTGGAAAATGGCGCCCAAAAACCAGTTTTTCCCCTATTACTCAAAAACTATTCATCCTATAAAAAAACATTAAATGTATAAAATGTTTGCTACATAAAGAGCTACAACTTTTGTATTTAGAATATTTCGATATAACTAACCGTTTACCCATAAAATGCAATATTCAGAAAATACATTTGAAAATTCGTAAAAAAAACACTATCAATTATCAATTATCAATTATTTAAGATGGGGACGCCACTATGTGCGTATTTTAACCCAAATATGAGTGAAGGATGAGTGTAGGATGAGTGGCGCGATCTTGTAGTCTTGTTAGTGACTAAGGCCGAATTGCCATTAAAAAAGTTTTAAATAAATTATTTTATTATTTTAATTTAAAAATTTGAATGTTCTGAACATTTTCATACCAGTAACATAACTTCTCCTTTCAATTTATATTTTCTGTGAAATTATAAATGTCGTTGCCAGACTACCATAATAAACTAGCGTAATAATAATAACGCGGAAACTCTTGGCTAGCAGTAGAACTTCAGTCTGATGATGAATAAGATTGGGACAATTACGTAACAGGATACAATGATAATTGTTTGAATAAAAAAAATAATTAATTGTATTAAAGGGGTTTGTTTTTTTACTATATAGTATATAGTAAAAAAACAAACCCTATATAGTATATACAAAATTAACCTATTTCCACTGATTTAAAGGGTGTTTTTAAAAGAATGCCGGGATTTTAAATGATAATTGTTTGTGTACTTTTTAAGGTAACTAAACGTTTTATACGTCAAATTTTAGCTAAAATAACTAAGTTTTATTTCCCTTGTAGCAAGGGAGGAAACTTTGGACTTGACATGCGCAAAACAGGTGCGCGGTGGTAGGCCTTTATTGTGACTCATGCGCTTGACGCCAGTCTCCAGTACGACGGTTTACGGCACAACAGAAGACACAGATTGCAATCTGTGGTTCGCATAGTTTATATATATTGCTAAATTAAACTAAATTTAAATCTATTTGATGATAAAGAAACTTGAAGTTGGTTTAATGAGTTTCGTGGCACCGAAGTGTTTTGAAAAGAAATTCACCTTGCTAAAAACAAGCGATGACATAGTCGAAGAAATCCAACAATTATGCATCAGAAGCTTGAAAAAATCTATTGCCCGACGAAGTCTTCAGTTGAACTTTATGATGTTATCTATAAAAGATGGAGTCGTGCCAAAAAAAATTGAGTCAAGGCATCAGAACCCGCCGATCGCCTTAAAGCATACAGACTTTGGCGGAGCCGGGGTGGCCGCGGCGGAGCTGTGGCGGGGATGAACTCCATGGAACTGGAGTCAGGGCAACAAACAAATTTTAGGGAACAGTAAATTTTTAATACGAATAAAATAATAAATTCATTAAGTGAATATGAAGAGTACAATTATCTATATTACATTTTACGCAAAGAACAAGCCTAAGAAGATAAACGGCAATTCAAACATAGATTTAAAATTATAATTTAAGCCAAATATAAAAACAAATCACTCGGCTTGTGTATTGAACAACTGTCGCCACCACGTTACGACGTTACCCAGGACGAGTGACAGCGTCAAAGCAACATTGCAGCGGCTGGGATTGACCTCGACGTATTCCTCTCTCTCTCTCTCTCTCTCTCTCTCTGCCCCCTCCCACGATGTTGTGTTTACTTTATTATTGATTATTTTGGTAGCATGGGCTTCCCTTCCCTCCGAGAGAGAGGAGTTGCAAAACTGAGATATTTTGCTACTTTTTATCTTAATAAACAATGTCGTAATTTAATTCAACAATTAATAACATAGCCGTTTTGGGGGAAATCCAAGATGGCCAAAAGTCCTGCCGACTCTTAGGTCACATTTTAAACAAAAACCAAAAAATAATTATATCTGCAACTGTAAACATAAACCAGATTATGAAATGAAAATAATTTTAATGTGCAATTTACACTAAGAACCCTTAGTACATAATTAAGTCAGAGCTCAGGGAGACACCATAGGCGATCGCTCAAGGAAGAGGTGGAGCCCAGGAGTAAACAATTAGGCGGGACAGTGGGGTAGATACGGGGGGGATCAGGGGGATATATCCCCCCCCCTTCAACCTATAATGGGTAACAAATTTTAATAACATTTAAAAAATAATGTTTTAACTATGCAATTAAATAGTGAACCTTTTTAATTTTACTTCTATTGTATTAAGCTTGTTTTTTTCAAAAGTATACTTTCAATATCAATAGATCGTAAATAAACTGCAATGCCAGTGAAAGTAGTATGGTTTTTGCGCGCGAAACAGAGTACAGACACAAGACACGGAAGGTCAACAGCCTATCCGCCCCTCCCCCTACCACCGCCACTTCACTTTTTACACCTACCTGAAATTAATCGTTTTAACGTGAGCAATAAAATAGTTAATCAAATCCACTTTACAATGAAAAAACATTCACAAGTTGAAATTACAAGAAACAAAATAGTAAAAGTTGTACAAATAGTGAACAATAACAATAGTAGTAACAATATCAATAGTAACAAAAATATTAACAATACAAATATTTACAACTAGCTGTGTGCCCGTTCTACGCACGGGGATCTTAAAGTAGTCAGTTGAAACCTTCTTATATTAAGAAAAGCAGTTGGTTTGCATATTTTCAGATATGCTGGCAAAACTATTATATATAAACCTTTGCAAATACAGTACAAGTTTTATTAACAGTTTTTGTATCTGACAGTTTCAAGCCAAAACAAATGCTTCGCAATTAAATGTCACCCGGATCGTGTTGGTCCATATGTTAAATCCAATGATTAAACTAAAAAAAGCTTTATAGGCCTAGATCTATGAGGCATAGCCCTAAGGCCTATAGTTGAAAGTTACTTCCCACAATGGTTAAAGGTATTTAAAGTACTACCTCAACCTCACCATTTAACACTTTATTCAGGTTGACATTTTCATTATCAAGGTGCTCTTGTCCTTTTCGTGACACTGAGAATAAGGACATAAATGCGTTACCAACAGACATACACACAAAAATACAGAACTTAATTAGGGAATTTGCTACGTTTTAAGCATAACAAAGTACATATAAAATTAGAATTTGAAATCTTTGTCAATTTCATCACATTTTATCATAACAATTTATATTTGCTTGGACCGAAGATGACCCGAAATGCTGTCGAAATGACGGCTTACTTTATAAAATGAAGTACTATAGACAATTTAGATTGGTAATTTAACCTATAATAAAAATTACCAAAATAGGCCACGAACTATTGATACATAAACAACGTAAATCGTAAACATTTCATGATGGTTTGCTAAACAAATGTTTTACTTAAATGAGTTATCATTTTCTTAGCATAAACTAACATTTTGGAATCCAGACAGAAAAAGCAAAACTTATACAGTTAAGATATCAATTAAATTGAATAAGGCTGTAATACCACTGTATAAATAAGGTGCAACACCAACGATAACTAATTTGTAAATTACAGTGATGTATTGGTACGTAAAAATGATTCTTGCTGCTACCAACAGTTCTAAGGAAAAGAACCAGTACCAAAAACCAACGTTTACAGTTAAGAATTAAGTCCGACAAACTAAATGCGTTAATCAAGTCCCAAGGTTATTGATTTCTTGGTTTTGGATTTTCTCGTGAAAAGTTATCGGCAATCAAAATTATTTCCCATTAATTGCTTTATTCGTAAACAACTTTTAATGTAAACTTATTGGTGTCAGTTTGAAAAAAAAACCTTATAAAAACAACTGTTTGTTATTTAATAGATTACGCAGGCCTATTCTCTAAACAATGATTGGTATATCTTTTAACATTAGAATGAAATGTGACAAAAATCACGCAATGCTGGGTTTTTGGACGTTTGTAATTTTATTTCTTAAGTAGGGAGGCCATGTATTCTAGGGAAAAGTACCGTTATCAAGGATCGTCGTCGAAAAGGTTGTTATTAATAATTGGGTAGGCGTAAGTACCCAAGAGATGGGCTATAGGCCTATTGGCTGTATGGTCCAGCGATTGCATCATATGGCGAGTAGGAACAGAAAGTGACACATTGGAAAAGCGAGTTTAGCATCATCCATAAAACATAAACCTCTGTTACAATCACCCACTGCAGTTGTAATTTTTTACTTTACACTTTACTTTACACAACCACCATTGAAGCGCCGTCAATGAGTGGAATCCATGTTAGTAAGCTATTGGCGACGATCATTAATAAATTCAAGTTTCCCAGCCCTATACAACACTGATTCAAGGTCTTCTTTCTGGTTATCAAATTTCAAGAAAAATTTTATACACAAAGAATCTCTGGTTCCTGACCTGGATGATGTTATTAAATTTCATTTACGGTTACACTATATTATTCCACTTGCGATTAATTAAATCCGTTACCGGTAAGACAACGTTTTTAATCTCACTTGGATGGGCTTTGCCTTCAAAACGTGATCGGAAATGGTTGTGGTATTTGTAAACAACATTTGTAAACATATCAGTGACAGCTAGAACAAATAATCTTGATCCGAACAGCTGTTCGTTATTTCATAGATCATTATGTGATAAAAATTGGACGAAAACTTGACAAAAATCGCACAAAACTGCATTTTTGAACGTCCGTAATGTTATTTACCTACTAAGTAGTGAGGCCATATTTTAATGGCTAAAGACACTCTCGCCAATCCAGTGAATACATTAAAATGACTTGGATCTTAATAAGTACTTTCGTTTTCCTGGAGAAGATTGCGTAAAATGCCATCTTGAGTGTTACAGAAAGACAGAAAGACAGACAGACGGACAGACAGAAATTTAGATGAGACTTGTTTCAGCTTCTTTAATGTATAAAACGTAAAAATAACCTACAAATGAATGATTCTGAGCAATGTACAGACAAAACTCTTAATTTTATTTATATAGATTTATAAATAGAAAGTTGGATGGCAACAAGTAGTGCATGAGTGAGATCAAAGAAGGTTGTGAAGTTATTTTACAATAAATATCAACATTGACAAAAATGCAGGAACAAACATAAGCAAGTATCAGTTTTAATGTTATTCTTAGGTTGTCGGTTACTCATCACTAAAATAAATTAATCACAATTTACTAAAAAATGTCTAGGTATATTTCAAGTTTACATCAAAACTCATCTTCAGCCTCTAGTAACAACATATCAAGTAAATAAACTATGATTTATAATGTTTGTTTATAAATTAATTAACATATGTTTGAATTATTTTAAAATTAAGTTAGTAGGAAAAACATTTTTATATGTATATATTATGTAGATGTCACAGTTAATTTATTATTGTTTTTCCAATTTTAATTTTGTTCTCAACCTCTTCTCGAATTAAAGGTATAAACATAGGGCTGATTGTAGCACTAGGTTGGGATATGCTTCTTTTATCAACCGCCATGCAAGCAGCTTCTTTAAGATTTCTTAGTTTCCATATCCCAACCTAGTGCTACAATCAGCCCTACCTTTAATTCGAGAAGAGGTTGAGAACAAAATTAAAATTGGAAAAACAATAATAAATTAACTGTGACATCTACATAATATATATATATAAAAATGTTTTTCCTACTAACTTAATTTTAAAATAATTCAAACATATGTTAATTAATTTATAAACAAACATTATAAATAATAGTTTATTTACTTGATATGTTGTTACTAGAGGCTGAAGATGAGTTTTGATGTAAACTTGAAATATACCTCGACATTTTTTAGTAAATTGTGATTAATTTATTTTAGTGATGAGTAACCGACAACCTAAGAATAACATTAATAATGCCATCACGAAGGAAAAAACATACCGGAATGAAGTATCAGTTTTACAAATTTTACATACATCAGAGACAAGATGAACAAATGCTGGTGAAAATCTGTGTCTGGAAGTAGGCCTAGTTTACGCTCACACAGGTTCAAGGAGTGAAGATTTCCTAAATGATCTTCTGATATGAGAAATTGTGTCACAGAACAGGTCACAGTCCGGAGCAACACGGTTTCCAAGCCTGGCAAGACGAGCTAGTGGGCTGTGGAAGTCGAAAGACACTTGTAGAAGAGTTCCCTAGTCCTAGTGCCAGACGGTACTTTGAAGTCAATTTTTGACAGGATGTCCGGACAAAATAGAAGACCTCTGATTATTTTCAGTAGGAGCATGAAGTCGGCCAAGTCTCGGCACACCGCAAGAGATACAAGCTGCAGTTCAGAAGAGAGAGAAACGACAGGGACGTCCGCGTAGTTAAAGCCATTGCGAAATCCCACTAAGCGGATGAAACGTCTCTGCAATGCTTTAAGCCTATTGTACTAAGCTTGTTTGTTTGTTTGTATACTTTCATTATCGATGAATAAATGGAACAGATAAACTACATGCCGGTAGCCGGTAGCATTGGTGGGGTGGGATATTTGTCGTCTGGTGTTAATTATTGTGCCAGTGTGTTTTTATGATTTTCGTATTCCGTGGTGTCTCATGAGTGTTATTTTATGTCGAAACAAAGTAAACTGATCGGGTTTTTGTCCCGAAAAGAAAAATTTGATGGCGTTAGCTGGTGTGGCAATGGAACAACGAAGTTAAGTGATTTTATTACTCGCCTTTCAAATAAAATTTTTTAAATAGGCCAAGTCCCGTTAAAACATATTAATCAAAATATTCAGTGTTAAAGGATAGATAAACATAACGTCAAATGTTATCATATAACGAAAAGCCTAGCCTAAGTACTTAAAAAATAAATGTAATAAAAACTAAATGTAATAAAAACTAGTCCACATGCAGTTAAAGCAAAAAGTTTAATTTCATTAGTACAAAATTGCATAAAATTGTATTAAGTATTAACACCAGATTTCACTTCCTAAACGCTTAAAAATAGTGTTTAGAGAAGTTATTTTTCTCAAATTTTCCGGGGGAGGACTCCTGGACCCCCCTTACTTGTTGGAGGGAATTTCGTACACCCCAGACCCCCCGGAGGGCGGTGGTCGCCGATCTAGCCCAGGGCGGCAAAGTCCCTAGGGCCGTGCCTGTCCACTAGGTAAATAAATATACATACCAAACCCCATCCTTGTACCATAATGAACTCAGTATGGGATTATTATGGTATTTTTAAGTACAAATAATAAAATAAATTTAATATTAGTCTATTTAAAACTTTTTTTAATCGCAATTTATGTTTTTTACGAATTTTCAAATTTATTTTCTACATATTGCATTTTATGGCTAAACAGTTAATTATATCAAAATATTTTAAATACAAAAGTTGTAGCTCTTTCTTTGGCGAACATTTTGTAGGCTACATTTAATGTTTTTTTATAGGATGAATAGTTTTTGAGTAATCGGGGAAAAACTAGTTTTTGGACGCCATTTTCCAAGATGGCGGCCATAGCACAAGTTTTTTTTTTCAAGGACTTTTGGTATGTTATTCCGGAAGTAAATTCAATATACATACCAAGTTTTACACTTATAAGAGTTTTTTTAGGTAATGGGGAAATTTGGATTTAAAATGCTGACTACACTATTAGTAAAATAAATTAGTCCCTCTGGGCTGTGTCTTGTTTTGTTTGCTTAATTAGTTCAATTTTCTTGCATAAATTTCAGTTTTTATGTTCTTTCAGAATGACAAAGACAAAGTCAAATATTACAGGAAGTGTATGCCACTTAACCTTGCTTTTAAAGGAACCCACATAAAATATAATTGTGTCGCTTAAAATTCAAAATTCTTTGCAGGCAATTAAGTTTCGGGGCTTGAACACAATCAGTCCTAACAGCTCAGTGAGATGCAAGCGAGCAGGTGCTGTTGTAGCAGCCACAACATCGTCTGCAATGCTCAAGAAGAGCTCTGGCAGCTCTGTGACGCTAGCCAGCTCGGGTTCCCCAGGGGCTTCTATCCACGTAGTAGCTGATCACGGGGTACACGCCAAGCGACCCAACAGCAACCACCCATGCTACCAGACTTCCTCACTCAACGAGAACTCTGCCAAGAAACTGTGTCGCAAACAACCTCACCCTCTCATGGCTCACACCGAGACCCAGTTGGTCAGTATAAATACTGGCATAAAGGAATTTAACTACAGTAGTACTAAAACTATCCTAACTCTAACTAGTATATGAATACTGATTATCTGAATAGCCTACAGAAAGAATTTTAAAAACTTAAACCCACAGAAATAAGAATCGTCACTAAAGAACTCTCCTGCAGTTGTGTAGACATAATCATAGTCTCCAGCGGTCATGGAATCATTGAATCAATTTTGCGATTATGGCAAAATCTTGCATATCATCTGCAGTTTTGTAATATTGTACCATCACCCACAGTCACAAAGGTATCATAATCATTTTCCGTGATTGCTGCAAAATGTTAAATACATCCCGTTGTTTTGTAGACATCATTGTCGTCTCATATGGTCACGTAAACATCCTCATCGTTTTCTATGATCACAACTAAATCTTGAATGTCTCCCATTGTCAAAAATTGCCCAGGAAACATGTGTTTTATAGTATATTTGCATAAAGTATACTTTGTTTTACAATGCTCCTCTTTGTAAAAGTCTTACTTACAGTTTTAATTTACTTAATTTTAAGTGCTTATTAGAAAATATAAGGTTTTTTAAAGTTGAATCAGTCATAAATAATATATTTTTACTTACTATCTTCATCACACATTTATACTTGCTTGCCGTACTTGGTTCTACAATATCAAAGTGAAACTCAAACTCATTCTTCACCTTCTGTATGTTTGTGTAGTCCTCAATTTCACAAAATGATATGCATGTTTTTTAGGTGCGAACATATCCTGCTGGAATGAGGATTGACTCCTCCAACTTCAATCCTGTGATATTTTGGGCCTTTGGTATTCAAATGGTGGCCCTCAACTACCAGACAGACGATGCAGCCTCCCATCTCAACGCAGCAATGTTTGAGCAGAATGGTCGTTGCGGTTACGTACCCAAACCACCCGTCATGAGGGAGCGCACTCACATGATGTACCGCAGGTAATACCCCAAGACAAATTAGACAGATAAACCTATTGATAAATCAGTTAATATTCTATTGTTATTCAATTTGTTCAGTTGAATTCCTAGTGCTCTTATCCATTGACATCCCAAGAGTGCTTCATGTCCTGTTGGAACAATGTGGGGTTGTTCTTTGGCGTATCTTCCACAGTAAGAAACATTTATTTTCTTTTTTCCTTCAGGTTTGATAATATTACCTGAGGAAGTTCTGCAAGCAATGTTATAGTTGTTTCCAATGGAATGTCCAAATTAAGTTTGTTGAAATCATGTTTAGCTAGAAGTGAGAGTTTTGCTCATGGGTCTACTTAGAATTGTTGTGGTTTACTGTTGAGATAACTTGTGATCATGTATTTGTCAGGGAGCCATTATTTACTTCTATCATATCTCGTATATTTAGGTTTGAATTGACATTAGTTACTTTATTGAGACCGTAATCAGGAAATGTCAATGTGGAATCTGTAGGAGAACAGCACTGGATGCAGTTGTTGAACTAGGAGAATTGCTTTTCTTCTGTTCTGTCAAAATGCACACTTTAGATAAGTGTCCTTGCTTGTTTAATAATATGTTACCTTTTCAAGGCATGAAAACGATCTTTCTGGTGAGAAGTTTGATATAGCTTTGCTTGCAAATATCCTTAATGCGCTCTAGACGTGTGCCTAGTCCGCTTATTCAGAAATACGGCCCAGGATAAAACGCAGGGCAATGGTCTCCGAGGTCCTAGAGGTAAAGCGCATGGTTATAGTCTTCAAGGTCCTAGTAGTAGAGCGCAGGGCTACGGTCTCCGAGGTCCAAGTGGTAAAGCACAGGGCTACAGTCTCCAAGATCCTAGTGATGGAGTGCAGGGCTATAGTCTCCGAGCTCCTAGTGGTAGAGCGCAGGCCTACAGTCTCCAAGGTCCTAGTGTTAGAGCGCAGGGCTACAGTCTCCGAGGTCCTAGTGATGGAGTGCAGGGCTATAGTCTACGAGGTCCTAGTGGTAAAGCGCAGGGCTACAGTCTCCGAGGTCCAAGTGGTAAAGCGCAGGGCTACAGTCTCCAAGGTCCTAGTGATGGAGTGCAGGGCTATAGTCTCCGAGCTCCTAGTGGTAGAGCGCAGGCCTACAGTCTCCAAGGTCCTAGTGTTAGAACGCAGGGCTACAGTCTCCGAGGTCCTAGTGATGGAGTGCAGGGCTATAGTCTCCGAGGTCCTAGTGGTAAAGCGCAGGGCTACGGTCTCCAAGGTCCTAGTGGTAAAGCACAGGGCTACGGTCTCCGAGGTCCTAGTGATGGAGTGCAGGGCTATAGTCTACGAGGTCCTAGTGGTAGAGCGCAGGCCTACGGTCTCCAAGGTCCTAGTGTTAGAGCGCAGGGCTACAGTCTCCAAGGTCCTAGTGATGGAGTGCAGGGCTATAGTCTCCGAGGTCCTAGTGATGGAGTGCAGGGCTATAGTCTCCGAGGTCCTAGTGGTAAAGCGCAGGGCTACGGTCTCCAAGGTCCTAGTGGTAAAGCGCAGGGCTACGGTCTCCGAGGTCCAAGTGGTAAAGCGCAGGGCTACAGTCTCCAAGGTCCTAGTGATGGAGTGCAGGGCTATAGTCTCCGAGCTCCTAGTGGTAGAGCGCAGGCCTACAGTCTCCAAGGTCCTAGTGTTAGAGCGCAGGGCTACAGTCTCCGAGGTCCTAGTGATGGAGTGCAGGGCTATAGTCTCCGAGGTCCTAGTGGTAAAGCGCAGGGCTACGGTCTCCAAGGTCCTAGTGGTAAAGCACAGGGCTACGGTCTCCGAGGTCCTAGTGATGGAGTGCAGGGCTATAGTCTACGAGGTCCTAGTGGTAGAGCGCAGGCCTACGGTCTCCAAGGTCCTAGTGTTAGAGCGCAGGGCTACAGTCTCTGAGGTCCTAGTTATGGAGTGCAGGGCTATAGTCTCCGAGGTCCTAGTGGTAAAGTGCAGGGCTGCGGTGTCCGAGGTACTAGTGATGGAGTGCAGGGCTATAGTCTTCGAGTTCCTAGTGTTAGAGTGCAGAGCTATAGTCTCCGAGGTCCTAGTGATGGAGTGCAGGGCTATAGTCTCCGAGGTCCTAGTGGTAAAGCGCAAGGCTACAGTCCCCGAGGTCCTAGTGGTAGAGCGCAGGCCTACGGTCTCCGAGGTCCTAGTGTTAGAGCGCAGGACTACAGTCTCCGACGTCCTGAGTTGACATCCCACCAATGGCTTTAACCCTTTGGATCCCAATAATTTAACCTAGATTTAGTTTGAGTAGTCCCGTGCACTTTGGCTTGCGTTAGCTGGGGCGGCCCAGCCATTTGATGCCAGCTGTTACTCAAGAATCCCAAGCCAATAACACCTGTTTTACACATGTTTTGAAGAAAAATGTATAACTCCCTTATTATTGCAGTTAGAAATAATTTTTTTTTTTTATTTTGAAGGCATTTGTATGTACATTGCGACTGTGTAAACTGTAATAGTGTAATTTATTTTTTTTAATTTTTTTTAAATAATTTAAAAAAAAAAAAAAAATTTCACAATTATTTTTTATATTTTTTCTAAAAAAGTACCAATAAAATATGCGTGATTCTTTCAAAAAATGTCATATTTCAGTTCACTACATTGTAAAGATAACATAATGCAAATTTGACCACAAAAAGTTAAAAAATAAAGTTTCTATGCAGGTTTTTCCAATATCATGCACTTATAGAAAAAGGGTCACTCACCAGGTTTTCACGAGCAGATGAAAAATAAGTCTGAAACATGTCTTCTTTCACTAACTTTCTCTATAAACACTAATACCTAACACAAATATCTTCTTGTCCATTTCATCAAATAAATAATGTCATAAAAATTATTTACATATTTACATATTTACAAGTGCCCCCCCCCCCCCAAATTACACTTTACACTTGTGGTTGGGCAAACAGTCCAAATGACAACCACGCTTGCAATTCACACAAATGGTTTTTGACCGTCTCCGTTTTCCTTGTGGGTTGTTTTTACCACTGCAAACGCAACAGTTTTTTTCTTTGGTTCCCTCCAGCTTTTCGAGGCCAAACTTTCTACTATTGGGAGAAGGGCCAGGACCGTCACCACATCCTCGGGCATCAACTCCAGGATTTTTCTCTGTGAACCATAGTAACGCCAATTCTTCTATGATGTCTATTTGGAACTGCAATCGGGAGACAGGTTTGTCTGTATTAAGCTTATAAAGCACGTAGGCATTTAGAATCATCCTACCAAAAATGTTGAAAATGACTTTTTTTAAATGTTTCATGCAACGACGCTCGTCCAGGTATGTATACAGCATCTGATCGGTGCCATCGATGCCTCCCATTCCGTGATTATATTCGTAAACGACATGGGGCTTAGATTTTATGACAACCTTCCCCCCCCCCCCCTTCTAATAACATAGCGAACGTTGGCAGCTTTGGCATTTGACGAAACTAAAATGAATTGGGTTCTGTTTGTGCTTTTTTCACGATATGCCATCCATTGAACTGGGCCTTTTCTTACGTAAACCTTTTTCCCTACAGGATATTTCCCGAGCAATTGTTTCGGTACTCCTCTTCTATCAATACGGACCGTCCCTGTCAACCAAGTTTTGTTGTTGTACAAATATCTCACTAGCTTTTTTGACGTAAAGAAATTATCCAAATAAAGGTGGTACCCTTTATTCAAAAGGTTGCTCATCTGTAACAATCTCTTTACAACGGAGAAACCCTGGCCTAGTTGTTCAATTTCCTCTCTATTATCTTCGTACTTGGCGCCCTTGTAACAAAAGAACTTTAAGCAATAATTTGTGGTGGCATCACAAAGGACCCACAGCTTAATACCCCATCTGTGATGCTTTTTCTTTGGCAGGTATTGAGTCAGAGCTATTCTTTTTTTCGTTCCAACCAGGGACTCGTCAACAGAAAGTTCCTGGAACGGTATGTAGAAGTGTTGAAAAAGCCGGTTGCAGTGATCTATAAGAGGCTGGAATCGACCGCATGGGTCATAATTGGGAGAGTTTTGTTGTGGCAAAGTCCTGGAATCTACAATGTGGAAGAATTTTAATATTGACTGGAACCTATTCCTGCTGAACATTTTGCCAAACCAATCAGTTTTTTGTGATGGAGTTGTGTACCAGTAGCTTCGGATAGATGGTTTTTTCAAAATCCCCATGTTCAAAATTACAGCGATAAACGCTTTCATTTCATGTACGGTGACGTTACACCAATCTTTCATGGTATTTCTAGCTACGTCATTATTGTTAAAAAAGTTCTGGGCATATCTGTTAGTTTCATTTGCCAAAGTGGTAATTAGGTTCATCGTAAAAAAAAGGTGAAAATAATCAATAGGCTTAGAATTCCGGGGAGGACAATGTTTGGGCCCAGGCAATTCAGAGTATGTGAAGTCGTGTTGCCGTTCTTGATCTTCGTCCTCTCCCACCTCCTCCCATTCGCTACTATCTGGACTGGATGGTTGATCTCTCCTTCCTCTACCCCTAACTCTAGTTCCTCCCCTACCCCTTCCTCTAGGTATTCCTCCCTTCCTCTAGACATTTCTCCCCTTCCTCTAGATATTCCTTCCCTTCCTCTAGGAATTTGAGCCGATGTGCCAGGCAAATCGATTGGTTCAAGGTCATGTGTTGTCCCTGGCAAATTGAACGGTTCAAGGTCATGTGCTGTGCCTGGCAAATTGATTGGTTCAGGGTCATCTACTATTTCCTCAGATGCATCATTAGGAGGGTCTCTTTGCCCAAATAAGTTACATCTACGCCTAGACTGATCATTATCATCATCATCAGAACCAGAGCTTGATTCGCTTACATAGTCAGTTCGACTAGGCCTATTTGCCAAAAAACTAAAACGATTATTTTCCTTACTTCTATTTGGATTGTAGTCTGGGTCCTCGTCAGTGTCATCCACATAGTCGTCACTCGTTTCGGAAGATGGTATTTCATCAAATGAGTCACTACTATTGTCTTCGTCAACAAAATTACAACCACTTTCTATAACATTATTGATTAGTGTACCTTCACTGGCGGGCGACCGGCACCTTTTACGGTTTCCGTCACTCATTTTTCAAAGGATTTTCCCACACACAAGTTTCACCAAACAGCTTAACATTCGCGATAGTCACAAATCGATGTTCACTCACAGAAAGACCGGGCGAAACTAAAGAAAAATGCGCCAAACGAAGCAAATTCGCGCTAAAACACTAACGCGGGAAGTTTTTACAGAATCATTATATAACAGCTCCGAAGATGAAAGTTGTTGTGTAATAACTAAATAACAATATTTATTTCTTTATTTTTATTTTTACTTAGTTATTTGTTTACTAAATTATTGTATTTTATATTATGACGTTTAAACAACAACGGTACAGTCGGCCGGAAACTGTCAAGCGAAGCGTGATTCCACGTAAATTTCGTCGACTTTCGGCTCTTGGTAGCACTATATAAAATATTATATTTATGTTTTCTGCAAATATTTCCACAGACAATGTCTTTATCTGTCCTTTGATGTATTATATAGACATTTATTACGAAAATTAACATAATTGCATAACAAATACTAAAAGCCGATGACATCGGCCCTTGGGTTTTTTCGTGTCTTGTTGCTAGGCCGATCTCATCGGCCCTCGGGTCTTTTCACGGCTAATTACAAAGCCGATCAGATCGGCCTGTGGGCATTTTAAAACCTATTGGCAGAGCCGATGTAATCGGCCCTTGGGACCCAAAGGGTTAAGCTATGTGGTAGTGTTGCGATCACCAAGGTCTAGACTGAAGATGGTAAACGTGTAAAATAGTTCTGGTCTAGACACTAGCGTGAAGGAAGGATAAATATAATGGTGTTATTAATGAATGGATTGATCTTCAGGTTTAACCCGTGGGAGAAAGAGTTTGACGGGCTGCATTCATCTCACCTGATACTTAACCTAGTGTCAGGTCAGTACCTCTGTCACAGCACCAGCACTGCTCCAGGCACCAATATTGTGGTGGAGGTGGAGCTTATAGGCATACCTGTGGACTGCAACAAGCAACGCACCAAGAACCCCACCAGGAACTATGTCAACCCAATCTTCAATGAAACTTTTTTCTTCAAGGTTATGTTTAGGTGAGTAGAAACGTAATTAATACCCAGTAATTAGCATTATAAAGTTTTTTTTTCCAATAACTCAGTATTTTTAGTTTTTTTTTAATAACAATTCATTATCTATTTAACTGTAGTTAACTATTGGGTGTCAAGCCAGCTATCGCTTGTTTGGCTCTTGTTAACACTTAATATGGTAGCTCAGAGGTATTATTTTGGGTGATAGACCTGTTGCCTACACTATCACATTCCTACTCACTCTTGCATTACCCTTTTTTTGTCCTAAGATGCTATGCTTTAGCCTGGGATCATATTTCACATAGCTTCATAAGCCTAGGGGTTGGATTACCACTTAGATAAAATGCATTGGTGATCTGGTGGGATTTGAACCTGGGACCTCTGGCACCTAAGTACCACCCTTTACTAGACTAGACCAACTACCCTTTACTAGCTTGCTCCCTAGATATATTGGACGTTACCTTCAGTATCCAATAGTCATCAATGACGTTACCCGTATTAGAGCATCCACTCTATAGCTCAAAATGCCCTTTTAAATTTGACTTTATTCAATTTTATTTGAGCCCATGTATTATACTTCCATTAGCAACAGTGCTCGTTGTGGTTAAATACAACGGCCTCTTAGTAAAATAATGGTTATGAAATCCATACACCACTTTTCTCACTAATATTAATGATACAGATTAAGCACATAAGATTAGAATCACACACTTAACATAAGGAACACACCTAAAACACAAATGCAAATTGTTAACAACAACATTTAATCAGAGGAAATCAACTAAATAACAATACAAAGGAAATTGACAGGAAAGCAGGCTTACCTTTAAATAAATCCATAGAGACACATAACACATCACAAAATTAAAAGTAGAAATTTTCGTGGTCACTGACCACTTTTTCAACCACTGGAGATTGGAGAAAACTGGAGAGATTGGAAACTCGAACATTTCTACTTTTAATTTTGTGATGTGTTATGTGTCTCTATGGACTTATTTAAAGGTAAGCCTGCTTTCCTGTCAATTTCCTTAATAATTCCTGGCAAATGCCCTATCTTTTTATAAGATAACCTTAAATAACAATACAGTATCTATTATGCTATTAAAGTGATACAATCAAATTTTATGTAAACGGTTAAGGCCATTTACCAAATAAAAATATAGGCATATGGCACATCAAAATAGAGCTTAGAATGTGTAGATTTGCCTAAAATTATTGGTATGGACATACTTCTCAGGGGCTCTGCCCCATAGGCCGATTTCCAAAAGGCTACGTTTGTTATGCTTCCAAAGTTTAAATAATTTAATTTATTTAATGAAACAGCTGGGCAATGCAATTAATTGATGTTTGTTTATTTACTCAATAAAAGATGTTTGTGATGCTAAGAAATATGTGCATTATTTAGAGGTTTATGTTCGGGCAAAGATGTTTAAATCAGTCTTTTCAATTATTATCTCATTTTTTCAAGTTAAATCATCCAGTTGCTGTATTTTTAAACACACATCAGCAACAGTTATAGAAGTCTAGGTCACATGTTCTTCGCGTTGCAAAGCACGGGTTTAGCAGCTTGTGACTATATAAGCTGTCAAATTATTAACACATGTTTCGTATGATTAGACTATGCATACTGGTAAACCAATTATTGCCATCTATAAAAATTATTGGTTTTTCTCTTCCGAGTCGGGTTAAAGGTCTTCTACCCGACCGATTTTCATAATTTTGGCCTTAAACTAAAGGTATGGACGCACCACAGATTTGCCATCAAGCATCGGCATTCATTTTGACGTATATTTCGAGCTATGCAAGCACATATTTGTCATCAAGCATCATTATTAATTTATCTAATGTGTTACTCAACAAAAAAATATAAATTAGATTTTTTTACTTCAACTTCAACTTCAAGATATATTCTAGCAGTTCTAATTTCATTACCGCTACCCTATATGTTTTGGTCTAAAAACCTTTAGTGAAATACCAGCTTACATTTGAGCTATTGATTATTAAGATTCCAATCTTAATAATCCTACCTAAAGCACACTGCTGAATCACGAATCAACAATAATTATAATCGTTTTAGTACTTAACTGCAATCAATGATACGTAACTCAAATTTAATTTAAGTTATTTCATATGTCTTGGTCTTAAAATACTTCAAGGGCTTTCACTTGAGATATTGATATTTTTAATAAGTTAAGTTAAAGATATACTCTATTGCTCAATCAGAAAACATAAATTTAATTATATCTTGGATATGGAATTTAGTTTTAAATATATTTACTCAATTCTAATTATGTTATTCTATTTGTTTTAACCTGAGAACCTTCAGTGAAATTCCAGCTTCCATTTAAATTGTTGATTATTAAGATTGGACGTACCTAAAGCACACTGCTAAATCACAAACAACCCATATTTTTCAAAAAATTTAGTTTTTTATCATCGATTTCTAGTCAAACGGTCTTGCTTGCAACCTCAACAGCAACTGTCAGACTTTGACGGGTTTCACTAAGTAAATATTTAAAAAACCAAACTTTCATAATTATTTGCAAATCTACATGAATTAGGCTTTCCAATAACCTGTTAATTAATAAAATCGGTTAAGTAGAACTGTAGATTTAATTGTACAAAGTTTAACAACAAAATCTTTAGTTCAGTGTTTTCTCACTATTATAAATTTGGAGGTTGCTTAACGTTTTTGCAAATAACTTTAAAATTGTGAGGAAATCAGCCAAAGTGGAAGGTGATATTCTGATAGAGAATAAAATTTCCAACAGATTACCATTATGTACTTCTGGAAAATACTGAATAAAGGCAGCCTAAAGTTGGCTACAAATATAAACTTGGAAATATAAACTTGGTAAAAAGCGTTTTAAATGTATTATTTTTTATTTTTATTGTTTTACCTCAAATATCTAATAAAATCAAACTTTCATAATTATTTGCAAATCTACACGAATTAGGCTTTCCAACGACCCATTAAGTAACAAAATCGGTCTGGTTAGTTGTACAAAGTTTAACAAAAATATATCTAATTCAGTATTTTATCACCACTATAAATTTGGAGATCACTTAGCTTATTGCCAATAACTTTTAAATGGAGGAGAAATCGACCAAAGTGGATGTGATTTTCTGAAAGAGAATAAAATTTACTACAAATAACTACTATGCATTTATTTAAAATGCTTAATAAAGGCAGCAAAAAGCTGGCTACAATTAGAAACTTGAAAACAGAAACTTGAAAAAGCAGTTTTTAATGTATTTTTGTTATTTTTACTTTTTTACCCCAAAGATTTTATAAAATCACACTTTCATAGTTATTTGCAAATCTACATGAGTTGGGCTTCCTAATGACCCATTAAATAACAAAATCGGTCCAGTAGAAGTCTAGATTTAGTTGTACAAAGTTTAACAAAAATATCCCTTACTCAGTATTTTCTCATTACGATAAATTTAGAGGCTGCTTAGCTTTTTTGCAAATAACTTTTAAATGGTGAGGAAATCGACCAAAGTGGAAGGTGATATTCTGAAAGAAAATAAAATTTCCTACAAATTGATACCATACACTTCTTGGAAACACTCAAAAAAGGCTGTCAAAAGTCTCACCCAAATAAAAAGTGTGAAAAACACAGTTTTCAATGTATTTCTTATGGAAAACATGTTTTTATTACATTTTTCACTATAAATCATATCAAAAACAAACTTTCATAATTATTTGCAAATCTACACGAATTAAACTTTCCAACGACCTATTAATTAATAAAATCGGTCCAGTAGAACTCAAGATTTAGTTGTACAAAGATTTTTAAAACTGAATTTTATAGATAAGTAAAAGATGCTACTATGTAATTCTTTATTACTTGTCTGCAGAGATTTGGCATTTCTGAGGTTCAATGTGTTGGACCAAAACACAAACCATGTGTTGACTCAGAGAGTGATGCCCCTCAAGTGCCTTCGTCCTGGTTACCGCCATGTCCGACTGCGGAACCTCCAGAACCAACCTTTGCCTCTCTCATCACTCTTCATCTGCTCCAGGACAGAGGAGGAGAGTCTAGATGGTTCACGAGAGCAGCGTGGCACTATTCAGGTACAAAGATAGCTTGATAGTTTCATTCTAGTAACTATATATTTACAAATTAACATCACTCTTAAATTTAATCTAAAAGAGTAAATGATTAATTTGTTAAATCATACAACATTAAAATCAATATTTTCTGTATAAATTTAATTTATAAATACTGTGAACCTGTGGGATTTTGCAATAGAGAGAGAATAGCATAAGCAATATGTAACTAGTATGTTTTCAAATTTAATTTGGAGTTAAGTTAATAGTATGCTGATGATTGACTATTATCACTTGTAACTACAGGAGGTGAGACCAGACTCAAGTGCTCGTCTGCCGGGAGTTAAGAGACGAATGTTCTTCCTGATGGTGTACGGGGTTGTACCTGATGAGCCCTATACCATTCTCAAAATCACACAGGAGAGTACGACACAAGAGGTAAGGAGAAAAAGTAAAATGTTTGTTTTTGAAAAATATGTATTACTCAATCCTAGAGTACCAGACAATCTAATTTATGTACCAAATTATTGCTATACCCTGAACACTAAGGAAATGCTGATGAAGGCCACAAAGGTTCACTCATACAGGCACATATCTCACTCATACAACCCCAGGAGATGGGGGCGCTTTGTATTTCCACTCTGCTGCCTTTTTACTGTGCTTACCCAAACAAATAATTATTTTTTTTTAATTTGTATCTTAGATTTATGTTTGTAGCACTCTTAAAAACATTAAAAAATCTCAATAAAACAATACCATCTTAAAATAATAAGAGTATTAAGATTATATAAAATAGATAGATTTTATAAATCATTTTTGTCATACTGCAGCAAAAACAGCCGTTTTTAATAAACGTGTTGCGGGTCTAAAGTAGCTCTTTTTCTCCCTAGAGCAAGGAGTAAAATCAGCTGTTGTATTGCACTAATTCATTCTCGCCATGATTGTTGTAGGTGATCCTGCAGGCCCTAGCCAAGGCTGGGGTGGGAGCAGAACGGGCAGGGGACTATGTGCTGGTAGAGGAGGTTGCTCGTGGCTGGGGAGGCAAAGAGAAGGACGTCCCTGCAAGCCAACGTGTGCTCGACCCTCAGGAGAGGCCACTGCAGGCTCAGGCCCAGTGGCAGGGTGTGGGCAAGTTTCTTTTAAAGCGTCTCGGAGATGACCCTAGCTCTCGAGCGTGGTTGTCCTCTATCCGTTCCACACGCAATGTAAAGCAAGCCCGCACTTGGGATGAGGCAGACAATTTCTTAGTTTGTGTCTACAACGTGTCTCCTGAGATTCCGTATGCCATTTTAAAAGTACCCCTGAGTGCGTGCGCTCAAGATGTTCTTGCACAAGCATTGGTGAAAGCGAGGCGGCTGGAAGACCCTGTTAAGTTTGTTTTAGTGGAAGAACTAGAGTGGCAAAGTGGGGGTGGTAGAGTGCAACGAGTTTTACCCGACGAAGAAAATATTTTTAGAACTCAGGCTCACTGGCAGACTATAGGTAGGTTCATTCTAAAAGAGAGAGAAGTGCGAAAGAGCGGTGCTTTACGACCGGCGTTGGACAGACTCAGTAAAGGTTTGAGTGCAACATTGAGTGACCCAACTACTACGGCCAAGTCCAAGTTTCCTTTGAGTGGACTCACACGTCGAGGGAGCCGAGAGCCTACCACAAGCCACCGAGAGGTCCACTCGGAGGGGGAGACACTCAGTGATGACGACGGGGATCTACTTACAGCCGTGGCCAGGTTAAAAAGGGTTTCTCTGAGAAAGCTCAAAGTCTGGAAGTCATGATTGTTAATAATCTGCTGCTTGTCTGGCTCTATCTAGTAACAAAGACAATACTGTTTGAGCCCTTGTTATCCCTAGTTTGTATCTCAAATTATTTAAGAAATGTTGTAAACTATTTTGAGAATAATCACCGACTCTAGTCATGATCAAACTCTCTGTGATACTATACGTACTAATAAAAATGTGAGAAGATTTTACTACATACTACTTTTTTATTTTAGTTTGAAAGGGTACTGCGCTTTAACTTCTGCTTTTTTTATCCTATGTTTTATACATATATATATATTGTTAATATACTAAATCGATTGTTGCAAAAATATTTTAACTCTTGTATTGAGATACTGGATATTAAGTTTTTAGATATTTATTTTTTGTTGATATTCAATGTACCGAAGTGGAATTGTTATGAAACTAGTCGGCTAGATTCAGTAAAGAGACTATTTATTTAAACTAAAATAATGCACAAACAAACACAATATCGAGTGACCAAATGTGTTTTTATAATTTCTCGTATCGAATTTAAAAACTTTCTATGAAATTAATTTATTTCTTATAACATTTTGTATATTGATGTTAGCATATGTACATAACTATTTGCAAACTCGTTACTCTAAAAGCTTTACCACATTGTTAACCACTCACATATCCTTGTTAGTATGGTAAGCACATCATGCCTTGTCGACTATCTGGCCCTAGCCTGCCTGACCAATCTCTCTTTACATTAAAGCTGATAATTTTGTTTTATTATTGACTTTTTATTTCCCCTGGTTACATAATTTTTCCCTAGTCTAACCTAGATAAAGAGAAGTAGACAAATTATCTTCTTTCTAAATACAATCTTTTATTTAAAAAATCATATATATTAAAACGTGACAGGGTTTTTTTATTTTACGATTCTAAATCAACCACTTGACGGATTTTTATGATTTTTGTGTCGAAAGAAAGATCATTTTAAATACTAGTGGATGTCGCAGCCATAATTTTAGTTTAGATGAGTTTTAGTTTTTAGAAATTAAGTTACAAATTTTAAAAAGTCTAGCAGCCGTCGCTAACATTCTAGACTAGCTTTTGGTATAATAACATTTGCTTAACGTAACATCTGTAAACATTCAGCATTTATGACAAAAACTCCGCTTTTGGATGAAAATAAAATGACATATGGAGGGTTGACTTATTACTATGTGTAATGCTTCAATCATTTTTTTTTTTTTAACATAGTTTTATTTACAATCTGTTTTGCATTAAACAATAAGTAAATATGATGGCATTTTTAACAATAAAATAAAAATTGGAAAGCTTGAGTTAGCAGCTAAACAGCTTTAGCACTAACAAAAAAAAACAAAGAAAATAAATTTCAGAGCTGCTGTAAAAATCGAGTCGGAAGGTCTAAAACATTTTCTCTTTTTAGTCTGTAGACATGTTGACTGTTGTCTAGGAGGTTGAGGGCCAAATGGTTTGGATGATACTCAAGCTTAGAGAAGTATTTTTTACTGCAGCTCGTAACTTCTTCAGTAACAAATGGAATTTTGCAATCATTGTGAATGGTGACGTTGGATACATACCAAGGGGCTTTCAGGATGGTTCTTAGTAATTTTGACTGAAATCTTTGTATATATCCAAGTTTGATTTTAAAGCTGTTCCCCACAAAGAAATGCCATATGTCCAAATTGGTTTGAGAACAACCTTATAAAGCAATAATTTATTTTCTATTGACAGTTTTGGATTTTTATTCATGAGCCATGCCATTTGTTGAAACTTTGAATTAAGATGTGATTTCGATTTGTTCCAAATATGGCTTTGCCAGGTAAGTTTTCAGTCGAGGTGGATGCCCAAATATTTTACTTCATTGTGGTGAGGCAGAAGTACGTTATTTTAAGTGGACTGGGGGACAGTTAGCTGTTCTGGTGATGAATGTTATGTTATGCTTCAATCATTGATACGTTCATTTATTCGGATAGAGGACGATCATTTAAATATACAGTAGAACCTCTTTAATCCGAACCCCTGTAATCTTACTTACTTACATACTTACTTACTCCTTCTTCATCTTTTACCCAAAATAGGGATAGATTGCGTCTCGTCAAAAATAAATAAAACATTTCTTATACACGCACAAAAGAAAAGAAAAAAATTCTTCACAACGTTTACAACAGTTAAATGTATAAAACAATACATATACATATATACAAGTTAAAAAAAAGAAAAACTTCCAGGGATGATGGAAAGATGGCTACCGTATGTTTGCTATCTCCTTATCGGTCATGAACTCTGAGATGCTATAGTAGGCTCTCTCTTTCATTAGCGACATAAATGAATTCGAACGTCCACTAATCCGAACGCCTCAGTGCTGTACTCTATACACAGTACAGTAGTTTTTTATTGTATGTATAGGCCTACTGTATTTATTGATATATGCACCGTAGTTATTTCAATTGTAATGTATAGTAGGCCTACTGTTTATTCCTTATGTTTACTACTGTATTAAATAAACACTGTATTTTACTTTATAAAGCATTTTTCACTTTTCCCTAGCTTTGTTATGTAAAAACAACAATATGTTCTGTAATCCGAACTATTCAATAATCCGAACTACTCCCGGTCCCAATTAGTTTGGATTAAAGAGGTTCTACTGTACATAGTTAAATGCTAGGTGTTCTAATTTATTATTTAGAGCACAGTGGCGGCGATAATAACCCGCGGGCCACCCCCCCCACCCCGCAAGTTTGTTCGCCGGGCCCCCCTCTCCCAATGATCTTTGAAAACATTTTTCCATGTATTACCGCCTAAACTTGCAATTTTGCAATAAACTTGAAAAGGCATCTCCCGAGGCGTCATTATGGTCTTCCATGATCGCGGCAAAATCGTAAATACTTCCCGTAGTCATAAGTCATGGAAGAAACATTAAGTTATCATAGTTTACCGTGATTGCAAATGCAACCAAACCTATGACATCATTAGATAGCAGCATCATCGTCTAATCTAATATTACGGCCTAATATCTCCCCGCGACCCGGTGGTGACGGGTAAATCATTTATCAGTAATCGCGGCTAAATCCTAGATATATCTCTCGCTAAAAAAGAAACGTCATTATCGTCTTCCGCAGCCGCTGTAAAATATTGAACATCTGCGGCCATGGAGACAACGTCATCGTCACCCGCGGGGAAATGTTCTAGTCAATATCCGCGATCGCGGCAAAAGCGTAGGCCTAATCTTTCAATTTTGTGAGCGTGATCCTCACGGATATAAAAGCTTTTACTTTTAATTGTGCATTATTGTATCGAATACTGAGAAAATCGGCTCGACAGTCGGTTTTTGCTCGGAACGGGAACATGTCACCCGTTAGTACGACAGGCCTGTTCGGTTTTTGTTAATATTTTAAATGTATCGTATTGTTCGTATGTGTTACGTGTTTAAACTTCAACGACGCTACTTCAGCCGAGTTTTTGTTTTTGTAGTCTGACGATGGCATTGTAATGCCAAAACGGCCGTAACGTAGTTACACCTCAAGAATTTGAGCTGCAGTGACGAAGGTAAAGCCTATTTTTAGTTAATCTAATCGTCATAAGCAGTTCCCACACTGTGGACTGCTTGCCTTTACTACTTCCTTCACCACTTCCTACGTCACGGACCTGTTTTCCTCTCTTCCCATAGCATTTTAGGATTGCAGATACCTTAATCTAATCGTCATAAACAGTTCTCACACTCCGGACTGCTCGCCTTTACTACTTCCTTTACCACTTCATGCGTCGCGGACCTGTATCCCTCTCTTCCCATAGCATTTTAGGATTGCAGATACCTTAATGTAATTGTCATAAAAAGTTCCCACACTCCGGACTGCTCGCCTTACTACTTCCTTCATCACTTCCTACGTCGGGGACCTGTTTCCCTCCCTTCCCATAGTATTATAGGATTGCAGATACCTTAATATAATCGTCATAAACAGTTCCCACACTCTAGACAGCTCGCCTTGACTACTTTTTTAACCACTTCCTACGCCGTGGACCTGTTTTCCTCCCTTCCCATAACATTTTAGGATTGCAGATACCTAAATCTATTCGTCATAAAGAGTTCCCACACTCCGGACTGCTCGCATTTAATAATTCCTTCATCACTTCCTACGTCACGGAACTGTTTCCCTCCCTTCCCATAGCATTTTAGGATTGTAGATACCAATAATCTAATCGTCATAAACAGTTCCCACACTCCAGACTGTTCGCCTTTACTACTTCCTTCGCCACTTCCTATGTCGTTTGCCTCCCTTCCCAAACTTCCCATAGCATTTTAGGATTGCAGATACCTTAATCTAATCATCATAAACAGTCCCCACACTCCAGACTGCTCACCTTTACTACCGGTACATCCTTCATCACTTCCTATGTCACGGACCTGTTTCCCTCCCTTTCCATAGCATTTTTGAATTGCAGATATCTTTATCTAATCGTCATAAACAGTTCCCACACTTCGGACTGCTCGCCTTAACTGAGTGAAAAGTTTGAAACGTACGTTTACATGTCCCTGGCCTTTTACTTCGTAGATACTGGATTTGTAGTTTATTATTATGTGTTTTAATTTTTTTTTTTTTTTTTGGGACGGGGGCAACATGTTACACACATTTATTTGGTTTTAAATAGATTCTAGGTATTTTTTTCGTATTTTTAAAGTCTCAAAATTCACGACCATGACGTGTCCCTAGGGTACATTTTCCAACTTTCACGCTGTTTTTAGACTAATTATTCATGCCAAAATATATAAAGCCATATTTTTATGTCATCAATAGTTATTAAACTTACAAAAAAGGAGCATATAATAATTTTATTGTCATTGCAAACTGACTACCGTGACAAAATAAGTCTGTCCCTCAATTTGGCATCACGACCATTTGGGAAAAATTTTGGAGCTTGACAGTGGCAGGCCTGGCGTCGATTGCGTCAGTTAGTTTTAGAGACTAGTTCGGGGTATAGTCAAGTTTGTTGTGCCGGTCGTTTTGTGTTGAAAGAAGTAGTTACAAGATTAATAAAGGTAAGTTTGTGTTTTTTGTAATTTTGGTGTGTCCATGACCGTACGTAGTCAGTCATTTGATGAAGTAGACGTGGTGTTAATGTTTGTTGATATGATATTTCAATTGCTACATTAACCTTAACATTAAGGACCTTAACATGCTACATTAACATTAAGGAGAAGTGGCTTGCAGCGGCTAGAAGAACACGGGATCTCAACTCAACGGACATTTCTCCGAATCTAACACCTAA